TTAATGATTGAAATATATCGGGATCGTTTAAATCGTCATTTTGACGCTTTATTTTTGACGTTAAATTTGACGTCACGTCAAACGTTCAATTGAAATCGCAAGAGTTATCTCCCCCAGTGTGTTGTACGTCTTTAAAACATGAATCAAATTTAATTTGTTGGAAAGTTGTTGCATGATACTTAGGTGACCTATAAGGCCCATGGGCCTCTTGTTAAAGCTAATAGATTTATTCAGTTTTGAAACCTAGCTGTCAACACCTAGCCAACATCTGTACTTTGAGCAATTACAACCCTTATCATGGGAATTATTTCAGAACCTGTAGAAAGTTACATTTATTCAATTTCTCTAAATACATTACTATCATGGTACAAATGACAACTTTTTACAGCACAGTTTCTTAGACTTCAAAGAGCTTTAAAGACCATTCTTAGACTTTAAAGAACCTTGAGTTACCACACTGATAAAAAAAAAATAATAAAATTTCAATTTCAAACTTTATTTTGAGACTTTTTCAATTAAATATTTAAAATTTAAGAATTATCCTTCCTGGTTGAGGAGCACATATCCCTATAAAAATTTTGAACTAGGTTTGAATGAATATAATATATAGCTACCACAAAGTTTTTATGTCTTATCATGTCTATAAACCTGGATTGTACAGATTGTTTAAAAATCTTTATTTAAAAGTTTTTCTGTCTTCAATAGCTCTCTGGGTAATAAAGACTTCACAACACCTTGGCGTAAACAAATTTTAATACACAAATGATTTATTTTCCTCATTTTCAAAATGTGCATTGACATGGATCACCTTGATCCAGACTACCAATTAAAAATGGAGGCATCATTCTAAAGCATAGACATATAGCTGAAAGTGAAAAAGTTTCTGTTTACTGGTAGCTAATCTGCATTGCACATACTAAGGCAAATAGCTGTATCACAGGTTTAACTTTGTTTTCCAGTAGTAAATGTAGGATAAGTTACCTCCCCTAACAGTACAGCATTAGGACACAGACTACCAATTATTTTGCTATACATTCCTTTATTATATAAAAAATGATTTTAAAAATTACACCAGCTCAACTTACCTGAAACTTGGCACAGAGTTAGAAGAATTCAAGTCCAAAAATTTTTCAGACTCTCAGGAAAATTCATCGCATGCAGTTCCTGCTAAGGCATCGCAAATAACCCCTACCCTGCTTTTTTCACTTTCTCTTCGGGGAAAGGGTAAATATGGGCCTCTTTACACTCTTCCTACTACGCGCTTAAGTGCAAAATTTCACATATTAACAATTTTATATTTTTTTTCAAACCCTCTCCTTTCCATCTATACCCAAAAATAACATCAGTCCACCCCATAAACACCCCAAAGAATTTTTAAGAAAAAACCTCTATTTTTAAACTGGAACTACTTGAGTGGTCAATGAAATAGGGGTAAAATTAGTAGTCTGTAACCTAATAAGGACACAAACCTTGTCTGATTTTGCTGAAATTTGACATGCTGGAGTCTTTTGTATCTATGAAGTGGCCGGTGAAGTTTCATTGAAACTGATGATTCCTAAGCAGAGTTATGGCCCTTTAATTGATGTGCTGGAACACCTTAAATCAGAGGGTAAAATAAGCATTAGGCACACAGTTCTCAGATTTGAAATGCTCACAGCTCACATGCATGACAGTTATTTTCTTTCCTTATATTTTTGTATACTAGATAAATATGTCCTACACAAATTTCAAGAACAAAACTTAACCTATTGCATAAGTAAATATTTTAAACAATTTTTCAAAAAAATATCTTCAAAAAGCATAAAATTCTTGGAAATATTAAAAATAAAAATATTCAGCACATTTTAATTTTAGTAAAACAAATATTAAAAAATTCTACAACCTATAGGCTATAAAAAATTAGTATAAAAGTTAAGGGAAAGAGATTAATACCTTTGTTATAAGCAGATTATCCAACCTGGTCAATTCAGCCTCTGTCAGGAAGTGGTACTTACTACTCTAATTGGATTATCCCTGGTCATATTTAGATTTCTTTGATGGGTATTTCTTGTAACAATATGCATTATTAGATAATAAATACCAAAAATTCTGTGAAATTTTGGATTTTATAATTCTGAATTTACAAGAAAAGGGATTTATATATGCATTTTACCTACATACATTCTTCAGGCTGCTGTAGAAAAAGGGGAGGCAACTCTGCACTATAAAGGTACCAAAAAAAAAACCAAAATGATTAAAACGCATGTCTATATACTTTCAAAGGTTCAGCATAGAAAATACATACCATGCCTGTGTCACCTATAATCACTCCTGGAGATGCTTGGAAGCTAGAACAGGGGGGGGGGGGGGGGTAGAGAAGGTTCTATTAAAATGGAGTACATAAATTCTGTCTGTCTTGTGTATCACTATTTCTGCACAGTGTTTATCCAAAATCTTGAAAACACATGTCCTTGTCAAAAAATGATGATTTTGTCTGATATGCGACCACCGACAATGATGTCCAAGATGCCACAAGAGTAGAAGAAGTCAGTAGGACCAAACATCCCATATGAAATGTTGAGCACCTTACTGACCTCCCCTGTCTTGGACAATCACAGATCAGTGCCAGCAATCAGACAGCAGATATTCATTTCCAAAAGAAGAAGGAAAAAGAGAAAGTTTCAGAGAGCTAGTACACATTGATTGGCAAGAGATGATGATGACAGATGAAAACAATGTAAAAAAGAAATCAAACACAAAAAAAATAATACAAACTTAAGAGTCAGTTGACTGTATACCTTTAACTTGGCTGTTGTGGACTGTAATATTGTTGACAGCTGTATCTTGTTTTCTGAATGATCATTGTCTCTGCTACTGGTACAAAATTGTTCACTTCTGACTGGCAACTGGCCTGGTTTTTTATGAAACCACCCATCCAGGCTATAACTGCTTGCAATCCCACATCAGTCAGCTAGAAATGAGCCACTGAAAAAAAAAATTAAGAATTTCAACTTTAGTTCACATTGATAATTAATAAGTAATTGTGTCAAATTAATAAGTAACTGTGTCAACTATAATTACAGACACCAAGTAGCCAAAGTTTTGAGAAATTAGGCATTTCTTTCCTATTAACAACAGTGTAATCTGAACAATCAAATGTTCAAAACATACCTTGGTTTTTGAACTCCATTTGGCATTTAAAATAGCAGGATAGGTGAGGAATGGGTTTTATGTCACCTACAACATTATATATAGAATCGAAATTCATATTGCATAAATTTTTGACACACATCAATTGCACACATTACGTCATACCTTTGACAAGCTGAGCAGGTGCCCCCTCCCCCTTTTCAATTATTTAAATCCATTTAACTTCTCCAAAATACAATTTTTTCCATAAAATTTGTCAACAATTTGCAGAATTAGTTCCAAATTATCCAAAAAGTGCCAATAAATTGATTAACGTGAGATTTGACCTTTGACCTCATAGGACACAGACTACCAATTATTTTGCTATACATTCCTTTATTATATAAAAAATGATTTTAAAAATTACACCAGCTCAACTTACCTGAAACTTGGCACAGAGTTAGAAGAATTCAAGTCCAAAAATTTTTCAGACTCTCAGGAAAATTCATCGCATGCAGTTCCTGCTAAGGCATCGCAAATAACCCCTACCCTGCTTTTTTCACTTTCTCTTCGGGGAAAGGGTAAATATGGGCCTCTTTACACTCTTCCTACTACGCGCTTAAGTGCAAAATTTCACATATTAACAATTTTATATTTTTTTTCAAACCCTCTCCTTTCCATCTATACCCAAAAATAACATCAGTCCACCCCATAAACACCCCAAAGAATTTTTAAGAAAAAACCTCTATTTTTAAACTGGAACTACTTGAGTGGTCAATGAAATAGGGGTAAAATTAGTAGTCTGTAACCATTACTCTGTATATAAGTTTAGAAGTTAAGCTGCTTTTCTCCAGTTCAGGACCTTGGAATCCAGTTGATTAGGGAAATAGCGGATTAAATAGTGCACCAATCTGTCTGTCCATTTAGAGACCACAGGGCCAGGATTACACTTAATTACATGTCTTAAGAAAAGTTAAGGATTAAATATCTATAGTGCTTCATTGATACGAAACTCAAGAGAGTTCTGGTGTTTTAATTATCGTTAAAAAGCCAGGTAAGGTACTTATTTGACACGAGTGGTTTTGAAAAATCAAATACGTGTTAATAACTTAAAATGATGGGAATGAGCTAAATACTATTGATTATAATTTTAAACAATGTTCATGTACATGGTAGCTGAATTCCAAAGGGCATATTGTTTGTAGTCTAATTTTTACTGTTATGTGTATTGACTATATTACTTTGGTTTAAAATTATTTGATATGTTACGTATAAATTACATGTATATCCCCACAAAGTTTGGTATGTGCATGCATTATCTTCCTATCTGTTTAGCTGTCTGTTCATCCAATAAATTCATAATATGTCTTGATCTTTTCCCAAGGATATCATGGCAAGTCAAAGGCAGAAAAAATGAACATGTATATCCAATCCACAACTGTTTAACAGAGAAACAAAGCTAAATATGCTTCAAAGATTACTATTAGGCTAACAGTATATGTTACACATTGTGAACTTAATCTAACAAGGTTCCAATGTAGAAAAGATCCGAGTGTAAGAAGACTAGAAGAGGGGAGGATAATATAGTAAATGTATGTCTTGTTTCATACTTAGGCATATTAAAATGTTCCATGTTTTATTACTTACTGTAAATCAACTTTTATTCACGTGCGAGAAATATCTGTGAGTTTCATGCATGACCTTCTTTAACTCATGAATAATCGCCATGAATCAATGTTTGCCTCGTATTTTTCTTCAGCTGAAAAAAATTAATTGTTGTGGATTGATTTTGAACTGAATAAAAGATGACACAAATAATTGGTTATAGTATAACTAGATATTTCTATAAGCTGTTAATGCCAGCCCCTTCTGATTGGTTTGTCTGTTTGTAGAGTAGTGTGGCTGATGAGAAGAGATACCTCCAGTCAGCCAGTAGCTCTCAGAGTTCTCGCTGGAACACCAGCAGTCAGGGACTGAGGCTGGAGAAAGAATGGACAGATCTGGCCAACTCCAGATCTCTTAAAAGGAATTCAGAGGTCCAGCCTTGTACTTTTCTCTTAGCTTTCTATATATAGAAACACATTTGCATTAATGCATCAGATGTAGAAAATGGAATTTTGGTTTAATGCAATTTTATAAATATAATTTAGTTTATAAAAGTCCATAATGTTTTATGAGCAAACATGTTCCTTAAACTATTTTTGAAAGTGTAGTTTATTCTGAAACGTGAACCTGCTAAAGATATTCTTAGACAGAATTTTGTGTAAAAGACAATTGTTATAATTATGAAGAATATATATTTATAATTCAAACTTGGTGTCATTTAGAATTTTAAAAGTACCTGGGTAGAAATTCTGATATTTTCCCATACATTATACATGTATTAAGATTTGGATATTTGGTGATTGTAAATATTATGAAAGTTAACCTTGTTAAACATTTACTTTACTACTTTAAGTTTTATGATTTACAGATAGTCTCACACAGAGTGGACAGGATGTATTTTATGACTGGTAACTCCATTAACATCAAGCCTAAGTATCATGTGGATGAGGAGGAACTGAAACAGCTCCGAGAACTCTCCAAATCCCGCCAGTCCTCACGGCGACAACATCGGTAAGTGTCAGCCACTCAGCCTGGTTGTTCTATTGATTGCTGTATCTGAACCTGTTCATCATATTCTGTTTTAGCTGCAGATCTGTAGCTCTCCGAAAAAAAATATTGATAGACCGGAGAGCTACAGTGCCACCCATTGAAAAACTGTATATTTGTTGCGCACTAAAAAGTGCGCTCGGTTCTGATTAATTCTTCAAAATTCTTACCAAAATTGAAAATAAGGAAAGATTTTTAAAAAATTTCTTTATCTTCTATCAAGTACTCTCGTAGTTGACATCCGAACGAAGCATATTGGACCGAATTACCTTCGAAACCAAAATGGCAGTATAAATAAGCGAAATGTTCGATGATTACAATATCAGGGTCAGGAGGACTATTAAAAACAATTATGAGGAATGTTTGGTTGTGGAAACAGCGAAAGAATATGTTAGGAACACACGGTTAGTAATATTTTGAGATTACAGTTTTAAAAACATGGAGAAATAAATCGAGAACCGAGCGCACTTTTTTGTGCGCAATAAATATACAGTTTTTTCAATGGGTGGCACTGTAGCTCTCCGGTCTATCAATATATTTTTTCGGAGAGCTACAGATCTGCAGCTAATTCTGTTTGTTATGTTATTCTATTGTTTGCTGTTACATTATTTACTTTTTAACTTGTGATGTCATTTAAACTTTCATCAATGTGCAACATCTTCATTCTATCACAAAGTCATGGTTTTCCTGTACTTCTTGTCATTCATTGATCTAATTGTTTCTGATCTTTCTTTGTAAATACCTGTGATTTTTCTTACTTTCTCTCTCACTATCCTCTCTCTCTCTCTCTCTATCCTCCCACATAAGATACCCTCATTTCATGGAACCGTGTGTGGAGGAGGAGTCAGTGTGTCCGGAGCCTAGTGTGGCAGAGGAAGAGGAAACCATGGGTCCTGAAGAAGAACCCAATACCAGCATCAGCAAAACTCACTCTGTTCAGTCTATGATTGTGGAAAGCACCTCATTAGAAGAAGCAGAAATACAGAAAGTGTTGCAGAATCAATGTGAGGAAGTTCCAGATGAAGTTGAAGAAGATGTTGGTGAGAATAAGAGTACTCCTGATTCATTGCAGAAAAGTACAAGCTTAGTGGTGACCAATGATGAAGTGGTAACCAGTGGTGAAGGGGTGATCAGTGATGGTGATCCTGATGGTGGAGAACAATCTGGAGAGATGAAGATTGTGAGTCCAGAGGAGGGAGAAGGGATTCAACAAGGGAAGGAAACTGACCAGGAAGTTGTGTATGATGGAAGCCCTCAGAGCATGACAGAAGAGGCAGAAGAGATAGATGAAAACTTAAAAGTTACATTCAAAGACCCACCATCAGAACCAGCAGAGTTAAGTGATGATACAGAGCAGAAATTAAAACTGTTATCTCCAAATCTTAGTCACATTAGTAAGGAGTCAGGAATTCAGATAGATCAAGAATTTAATGAAGAACTACCACCACATGAGCATTTAGAACCAGGAGAGAAGAAGTGTGATTGTGAAGAGAAGATCAAGTTTACTCACTGGATTGTGGATTTTGATGATGTGTCTGTTGCTGATCTGTTGGCCCATGGAGACAAGGATATCATTGGTGAATGCATGACAACACTTCTGAAAGATTTCTACTCTGGTGTTAAGAAGCCTAGGTTTGAATACAAGGCAGGGATTAAATTTCAGCAAAATCTGAAAAAGAAAGGTGCTAAGAAACCTAAAACAGGCAAGAGCAAAGAAAAAGGACCATGTATAGAAACACCAGTAGCATGTAAAGAGGGGGCATATTTTAAGAATTTCCCAAACAGGAAAGCCAACCATCATGGCTACAACAAACTTCATCAGATGCCAGTAAAATGTGGGTGTAGGGAGAACAAAGGAAATCTGAACAGTGATTTGTTTATAGAAGGGACCCCTGTCCCTATCTATCAGTATGTGGATGATGCCGTGGAAGATTTCAAGCTTCATTACTTGTAGAAATAATTTTTTCATAAAATTTATTACTCAATACTAATATATTTTGCAATATTACTAGTATATTAAAGTTTTGTTGTGAATTATAAACCTGTTTTCTGTCTGTGTGTATTAGGGTCATTCATATGCCTATGTGGTGAGTACATTTCTGTGAAGTTACCCTGTATCCAAACTCTGCCTGGGGAAGGGCTGATATTTAGTTACATTACAAAACCCATTCTGGTATTTGTATTTATACCTACTGATTTATATGACTCTAATCATATTTAAAGTATTGAGTATATGTTTGATACATCATACTTCTATAGCAATCCTTTCCTAATAAAGCTATAACATGTACTACTTTGCTTATTACATCTATTTGTATCATTACTGTGACAAATGATTTATCTATTTAGGGATATCAGTAGTTCATAAGATGATAATTATAATGCCGATTTTAGGAGTTCAGAGTTCAAACCTAATGATTTATCTACCTTTTCATAATAACATGATCCATTTTTTACCAACTTGAAAATTGAAGTTGGTCAATTAACTATAATACTGGTAGTGTAAAGAGGCTGTGTCTTTTACATTGCTTAGCAAAAAAAAAAAAAAAATGGTGACTGGATTCAACATTCGTGCCTATCCCAGTTAATAAATACTTGTTACTTAATAAAAGTTTTAAATGTTTGAGCTTTGCCTATTGGTTGGTATCCTTATAATTTTTTTCTTTTTGCTTGCTGTACAGTTTTAAATACAATCCTAGCTATGATACAATGTTGACATCTGTAAATTTCAATAGGATTATTAATTCAAAAAATTCTTTAATTTAATCTTATGTAATATTTGTCAAATTTACATGAATGAAGTAATATGCCATGAATTAATGTGTTCTTCTTTTCTTTTTTTCTCTCTCTCATGCTTTATCTTTTATCTGTCTGTCTTACTCTTCTTGTTACTGCATTTGTCTTTCTTTCTCCTCATGTTTCTTACTTCTGGCTACCTTGCCACCTCCTAGCAGCAGCCGGCAGTCAAAACAAGGGCACCACTCTCAATTAGAGGAGGATCTCAAGGTACATTACAGTCATTTTTAAAAATTATTTTATGAAGTGAGAGCCCATTTTAGCTTGTGGCTTATTACAAAAAGCAAAGATGTTGTTTCTATGTGAAATTGGAACAGTTTATTTATAAATGAAAAACTTTAAAGAAAAGCAACAAAGTGATTTAAAAATATAAGTGTTCTTTTAAGCTGATGGATTGTGTGTCATTGTCATTATTAGTTATCCAGGTTCAATCAAGAGTGTATGGGGATTTACCCTGGGTTTTATTCCATACACCCTGAGGTCATGTGTGGACAGCCATTTTAATAGTATTTAAATAAATTCTTTGTAGACAACAGGGTCCAATCAACTGTGTCTCAACCTATCGATAAGATTTACTACGTACTACAATGCATCGTGATGTCATGGCATTTGCTTTTTATCATTAAAAAAACTATGCATTATGACGTACGTCATGTTTTATTTACCCCCGGGTAAGTCAGGTACATGGAAATTTACACCTGACTTTGTAACCAATCAAAGCTCGTGTTACAAGCTACATAGGAAATGAGATTATTTACATACTTTGTTGTAAGGCCTACACTTAAGCTGTTGCACTGTTGATAATGAAATACATTCTTTTTGTAGTAAAATTGAAGTCAGCAAACTGAAATTACTCTGTATATGATTTTTTTAGCTGAGGTTTTATCATCATTTGTCCATTGTCATTGTAAACTTTTCGTATTTTCATCTTCTCCAGATCCACTTGGCCAATGTCAACCAAACTTGCCACAATTAAGGCATCTGTGTGAAAAAGGGGGCTTAAACTTTTTTTTCAAAGGAAGGGTCATTCCCTCTTTAAGGGGAGATATCACAATGGGAAAACACAGTTTTAAATAGGAATATAAATGAAAAATCTTTCAAGTTGTGTAGATACATGTTTTTTGTTTTTTTTTTAAATTGCATGTGATTTAACAAGGTAAGGGTAGGATGGGGCCACAATATGCATTAAAGTTTTATACAAGTCCTCTAATGAACAATTGGACCATAGTGACTCAGAAGAGAGGCCCATGTTCCTCTTGACTCTATTCAAATTTTGAAAACAAGTTACTATTGTTTTTCTGTAGGCATTGACAGTGAAAGGACATGGAAACATTGACTCAAATGGAAATGATGGTGAGAAATGTCAAGTCATGATTTAAAATTCATTTCAAATTTGACATTTAAATTCCTTTATTTTTAAGAATATTTTCCATCCTTTTTTATAGGACATGAAAATTCTAGAGAAGTAAGTATGCTAAGCCTTTTAGTTTTGTTATTTTATATTCTCTTAGTGAGAATATGCATGTAGTTTTATTAAGTGGTGTGAACTTAATTTTATATAAAGGACTATGCAGCTTGATTTATAATTATGTTACATTGTCGATTCATAAAATATTTTTCAGAACTTTGACAGTAGTGGACAGAAGAGTCCAATAGCAGGCTGGTCATTGACTGATAACCCTGCAATAGAACCAGACACAGAACAGAAAGAAAACCTTAGTCGTTTGTCTCTGCATGACGACACACATGATAAACTGCCATCAGAGGAAGAAAACGGTGACATAGACAATGCTGACCAAATTACAAACGGTGAGGATGATGGATTTCATGAAGAGGACATGGAAATGAAAGGGAGAGCTGATGGAAGGCAAGGGGAAGAGGATGTGATAGAACCGAATCCAGACCCCAGCCCAGAACCAGACCAAGAAAACACTGACCCAGAAAACACTAATCAAGAAAACACTAACCCAGAAAACATTGACCCAGAAAACATTGACCCAGAAAACAGTGCAAATACAGAGGCAGAAGACAAGGACCAGTGATAGACATTGTACACTGTGATTCTCAAAGCTCTAGAGTCTGTGATGGAACTACACCCTTTATTTCAGGGTCTGATTTCTCTGGATTGGGGGAATATAGTGAGCAAAAATGAGGATGCATATCCTGGCATGGATGCACTTGTGATTTTCCATTGATTATCTATTTAATTGTAGATGCATTTTCATTGTACTCTTTGTGAAAAGTCTTAAGCAATACCAGATAGATAAACATGGTGCACCATTGTATTTATGAAAGGTTGTTCAGCTAGCTAGGCTACAGATAGGCATACTCTGGGCTGAGCTTTAAAAAACTGTTTGCAGTTGTCCCATAATGTTTAGAGTAGATAGGTAGATAAGTTTTTCTTCTAATAGAAAGTAATCTTACTTTTCATGTTTTCTTGAATTATGGATCAGATTTATGATTGAGGATTTTTGTAGAGCTACTGAAAAGTTTTTGAGCCTGGATTTACACTTGCATGATTACCTAATTTTAGTGCCTAATTGTCACACATAAAGATAAAATATTTGAAAAGCCAAAAAAAAAAAAAACAAAACAATAATAAAATTGGGATTGATACATTTTAAGTGGGTTGGTGGTCAGCTGGAAAGAAGGGGTGTTTTATTTTAGGCCTCTGGATGTCAGAGCAATAATTTTGACATTGGTCTACACATGAAAATGGCATTTACAAAGCACTAATATGGATTAAAAACAAATATGGTTTAAAATCAATCTTTTAATACTGTAAACCAACTTTTCTTAAAATTGAAATAAAGTTAAATTTCTAATTTGTTTCTTTATTGGGTGGCATTGACAATAGCAATTTTCTGTTGCAAATTCTAATATCGAAGATGTACAATTTTGCATTCAAAATATAACATTATATGTGACTGACTTGTTTTATTTGAAAAAAAAAGACATTTCTTTCTTCATGAATTTTTCTTAGATTACATGCAGTTAAAGGAAAGTTTCTTTACAGAATTTTATACATTTTCACATGTGCATTTTTGTGTAATATTTAATATAAAAGCAATCATCAGTCTAGGAGTTCATCTACATGAGGTAGGTGAACAATCATGTGATAGATTTCTACTTGCTGACTGAGATTTAAGTTTTTATTAAACAATAATTTTTTGTTGTTTGTGCAATTGCATGTAGATTTTTGTCACCCACTTTAATGTTTGTGTACTTGTCTTTGTGAAATAATCATGACATGAATTCATATGGTTATGGTCATTGAAAGCTAACTCATTTTGTCAGAACTATAGTGATTAGTTTTGCCAGATTTTTAACCAGTGTTGGCCTTATATGTCCACATATCTTAATTCACTGTGAAGATAAATAATTGATGTCTGGAAGAAAAGAAATGACATTTTCTACATGTGATGCTAATCATATTTTATGCGTGTTTGGTGTATTTTTTCATTGTGATCTGGCCACGTCAAGGTCAATAATTTGTTTTATCTTCATATCTTTGAATTGTTTGATCTATGCCTAAATGCACAAATTATGTTTCAGTTTTATACCTTTATTTTTACATGGGCATCAGTTATAATTTAATCCTTCATTGAAAGTCAAGGGATTGAATTACTGAATAAATACTAGTGTTCTACTTTTTGATTTCTTCTTATGATGCTTGTTTAGAGAGATAATTATTCAAGAAAATTAAAGGTTCATAACCACTTCTTATATATGGTCTAAAGAAGACTCCTACTGATGTTGAGTTCAAAAGGTCAAAGGGCAAGGTGATAATTCATAGATTCTGTTTGTGTGTAACTCTCATTTCTGGGCAATATCTTTTGAAGCCTTTGAGCTTTTGCAGTGAAATTTTATATCCCAACTCCCACTGGCCTAAAGTAGACCTCTATTGATTTTGAGTTAAAAGTCAAGGTAATAAATTCATACATCTTGTTTTTTGTGTTACACTTTACTTTTTTAGAGGAAATCTCAAGAAACCTTTAAACTTTTGCAATAAAATTTTAAAAACCAGAACTCAACATGGCCTAAACAGATCCAATTCCTATTGATTTTGAGATCAAAGGTCAAAGTCATTAACCATATTGGTGTTTTAATTGTTTCCAAATGTACTTGTCTTTGTGTGAAATTTTCAAAACTTTGACATTTCTTTCATGACCATTGCTCTTAATTTTTATATTAAAAACAATACCTTTATATGGTTTTTACACAGGAGCACGTGAAAAACAGTGTAAAATGCTAAAAATAATTTTCTCATTTTGTCAGAATCAAAAATGTCAAATCACATTCAAAATCAACATGTATTTAAATTATTTGACTTGTATCTTAAACGAGGGCAAAATCATTGTAATTCATCATGAAAAATTATAATTGAGCACAATGTATCTTAATTCACTGTAATATCTGAAAAAGTCTTTGTGTGAAAATGTAATAATTTTTTTGAAAGATGTCTTTATTTTAATAAAGAAAAAAGTATACCTTTATGATAAAATAAACGAAATGACATTTTCTACATGTGATGCTACAAACATCTGAATATAACACTATTTTGCGGAAAATGCGTTTTGATTAGTAACAATTTACACTGATTTTTAAATTTTTCTGTTTGATTGTGAATTTAACTCCTCTAAGAATTATCCTAGCCAATTAAATCTAAATGTGCTAATCATTAGGCAAATATAGGTACAAGTACATTTTTAAATTTTTTTCTTAGTTTTATCGAGAAAATACAATTAATGGTAAATATAAAATTAAACATATTTCTCTGATTTAAGCCGCTTTCTTTGAATTTTATCTATCTTTTTGCACTTATATAAGCATATTATCGCACAAAAATTGCTATGAATGATCAACCCAAGGAAGAGATTTCTTATTAACCAAATTTGTATTTTATAAATTTTCTTTTTGTAAATTGTGTACGCTATTGAATATAAACATCAGTTATAATTTAATCCTTCATTAAAAGTCGGAAGGGATTGAGAGCTTACTGCTAATAAATCCAAGATGGTTTCCTTGGTTACAAATCTGCAGCATTCAAGATTTTTACAAAAAGGAGGGTTATTTCCTATATCTAAGTGAATTAAATGTAAATTTAAATATATATTTTCGTCTGAAATAAACTTTATTTGAGAGATAATAAATCTTTATTCAAAATAAAATTAAAGTTTCATAACCACTTCTTATATATGGTCTAAAGAAGACGTCCTACTGATGTTGAGTTCAAAAGGTTTTGCAACAGGGCATAACATTGTTATTAATCAATAACGTGACAATTTACAAAAAGAAAATTTAGTCATTAATAACTTTTATTTGTTTGTGTGTAACTCATAGCAATTTCAGTGGGAAATATCTTTTGATATATAAGCCTTTGAGCTTTTGCAATGAAATTTTATATCCCATTAATCATGTTTTCCCATAAAACTGGCCTAAAGTAGACCTATATTTGCTTATTGATTTATAGTACATGTAGATTTTATTATATAAAGTCAGTTAAAAGTCAAGGTAATAAATTCATACAAAATCTTTTTTGTTTTTATGTGTTACACTTTTTTCTACTTTTTTAGAGGAAATAAAAGAAAACTCAAGAAACCTTTAAACTTTTGCAATAAAATTTTAAAAACCAGAACTCTACATGGCCTAAACAGATCCAATTCCTATTGATTTTGAGATCAAAGGTCAAAGTCATTAACCATATTGGTGTCCAACAGGTTTAATTGTTTCCAAATTACTAGCTTAAGGGGTCTTTGAGCCATTGCAATAGAATTTTATACTAGGTACAACAGTGAACGTTTTGCCTAATTAAAGAACAACCCTTATGATTTTGAGGTCATCATGTTTATGTTTTATACTTTTGTTTCTGGAAAATATATTTCAAAGAATTTGATCTTTTGCAATGTCAGAGGAATGGAAGTTATCTCCACCCCACCCCCCCCCCAACCCCCACCCTCCCCCCTCAGCTTCTGTGAAATTTTATCAGACACAAAAACTTATCAAAAATACATGATTTCCTAGTCTATCATTCTTGTACATGTATTTCGATGTCTGATATCAAGAGGTCAAAAACAATGTATGTTGATACCCAAAGTCATGTCACAAGAACTATACATGTGAAATAAGATAGCCGTAGATTAAACTTATATAATGGAGGCAAGGTTACAGTGTTTACAGATTGACAGGGACAGAGTACAAAACTTAGTCGAGATGTATATAAGAACACATCAACAAGATGTGTTTGTGAAAAACTGATGCCCCCATATGGCAACATAGCTATAAATACACCTTTTCTTAAATGCAAATTTTTATATTGGTATCCAAAGTAGGGTCTTCTCACTGGAAATACACTTGTGAAATATGAAAGCCCTAGCACCACCTGTTCAAAAGTTATGGCCAAGGATAAGATTTTGAAAGGTAGGTTAACTCCAAGGGTCAAAGTTATTGGTTTCTTAAGAAAGGTCTATTGTCACAAGGATTACATGTGTGAAGTATGGAAGCCCTAGCCCTAACCGTTCAAAAGTCATGGCCAAAGTTAAAAATTTTAAAAAGTAGGTCAGGGTCAAAGTTCTTAATACCAATTGAAAGGTCTTATCACAAGGATTAAATATGTAAAGTATGAAAGCACTAGCCCTAACCCTTTAAAAGTTATGGTCAAGGTTTTCTTTGAAGTAGGTCAAACTTCAAGGTCAAGGGGTCAAAGTTTTAAGTATCCAATAAAGGGTCTTCTCACTAGGATTACATTTGTGAAGTATGAAAGCCCTAGCCATTACCGTTCAAAAGTTATGGCCTAAGTTTTTTCATAAGTACGGAAATCTCCAAGGTCAAAAGGTCAGGGTTGTTGGTATCCAATGAAAGGTCTTGCCCCAAAGAATGCATAAAAGAATTATAAAAATCCTAGATTCTACTGTTCAAAAGTTATGGCCAAAGTAAAAGTTTGGAATTTTGGTGTAAAATGGGTCAAACTCCAAGGTCAAGGTCAAATTTGGTAGTACCCAAAGAAAGGTCTTGTCACAAGAAATACGCATGTGAAATATGAAAGTCAAAGCTCCACTAAATCAAAAGTTACGGGCATGGTTAAAGTTTTTTCGGACAAACAGACAGAGGGACGGACACGACAAAAACTTTATATCCCCGAATCATCGATTACGGGAGCAAAAAAAATCAAAATGTATCAATTAAAATGGTTTAAAATTATATTGTGCGTCAAAACAGTGTTCATTTAAAGTTATGTCCATGTAGAAATTTCTTTTGTTTATTTGCTGATATTTAAATTATGCCCCCGTAAACGAAGTTTCGGGGTACATAGTTTTTGTCGTGTCTGTCTGTTTGTCTAGCTAGCTGTCTCTCTGTCTGTTTGTCCGCAAAAACTTTTGCCCATAACTATGTGGAACTTTCAAATTCGCATAAATGAGTTTAAACTTTAATTTTTTTTTTTCTTTTTTAAAAGTCCTTAAAAAATGCGACCCTCCGATGATCCGCCAATGCAAAGACTAAATATTTTTAAACTTTCAAACTTACAGAATGTTTTTATTATACAATTCTACGTATTTTAAAACTAACATTGCTTTGTACTTCACAGACACTTTAAGTGGGGGAATGAACAAAGTGGGGAATGAAAACAGACTTAACGGCTATATAGATAATCACCTGCGTATCAATTTTTTCAATTCAATATTCTTTTTGGTACTTATAAAAGCACATATATTATACAGAACCTGAATTGTGCTGTTAGCCATGTATTATAAAATATTAAACTGTAGCAAGCTTGTTTCTATAATATTATGCATCCTATTAAAACAGTCACTGAGATATAAACAGATTTTTTTTTATTTGTTACTAGTAACCTTGCATACTTTTTTCTTCAATTGACATCTTTATACATAGGACAATCAGGTAAAGTGTTTTCCGTCTTCAACAATAGTTTAACAATCAAAACAAAATCTTTTTTCTATAGGAATGATAGGATTACAATATCTGGACTTCTTGGCCAACTTTTGGCTTTTGCGCTGATCATCAAATGTGTCCATCTTGCTTAGAACTGCTAAAATAATTGAAAATAATAATTTAAAAAATAGGATTACTGAAAGTAAACTTTTCTTTTATACTTATAGATTTTTTTCTCTTTGATCAAATGTTCCCTTTAATTTCACGGTTTGTTGATTAAACAATAAATTTTGTACATTAAAATTGTTAACATAAGAAAATACTTCTCCCGTGCAAATAATGGTTAGATCCGCCCACCGCGAAACATTCATTCATGACAGCTATGATGTTCCAAGAGAACTTCCGATAGTATAGAACATTGAATACGATTGGTTCACCGCAAATCTTGCAACATTTCATTGGTTGTCTACATTTGACACAAATTTTAAACCGAAGGCAAGTCAGGACATCTTTCTCGAGAAACATTTTATTCATGCTGAAATGGCTACACAGAATACAAATCCTTCTGTCTCAACAACCTCAAGAAATAAAGATGTTTCTAGCAGTTCAGGACAAGCACGAGACAACCACTCGGTCAGCAAACGGTTTGTATTCGTGTTATTTTTCTTACCGTCTTCATCTTTTCTGGACACTTTATCAGTTTTCTAATATACTATTGTCTATTTAAAACACAGGGGCTTATCACGAAATATTGACAGACAATAGTATACATGTATAAGAAAACAGATTACCATGAGTATCTGCAGTCCATTTGACCATTTTTTTTTTTCACTTGTAAAGATAACATTCAAATGTTTTTATATTGTTTCAAATGTTAAAAAATATTATTTTTTCCTAAAATACTTGTATAATCTTACATATTCCTATTTCACACAGGATTGACCCTTTTGGTATACAGTCACACAGATGATGACTATGACAATAGCAATGCCCAATGATTTTTAAAGAGTCAAAAAATTGTTAGTTTTTTATGTCCATTGTGTAAAAATTCCCCTTTTTCCATATCAAAAATTCATTAAACGGAGAATATTTAAAACATCGTTCTGAAATTTTCCGTTTTTGTCCGAGCTTTTAATAATTTATGCTTTTAAAAAATGCATATATTCTTCAAGCTTTTATTTGATATTGATCGGTAAACATGTGCCAAGTCCATGATGGAAAATGATTGGAAAGTGTACATGAGTAAGATTAAATATCAGATAATGCAGGAATGGAGTAACAACAAAAACAATTTTAGTATGATAACATGAAAAACAGTTTTTGTTAATTTTAGAGAAAAAATTAAATAAAGTCCTGACCTGGTTGAGACATTTATCAAATGTTTTTACAGAAACGTGAAAAAGGTGCAAAAATTCCCCTTTTTTTTCTCCGATTAATACAGAATATTTAAAACATGTTCTGAAATTTTCCGTTTTTGTGTTGTCATTTAAAGAAATTTACTTAGTCATTAAAAATCTTTTAAAGTATGAATATATTATTCAAGTTTTATTTGATTTCACTGTTTTCTGTGCCAATGTAAGTCAATCTTGAAATTTATTCTTGCGATTGTAGAGTTAACCCTACTAGATGAGTAAGATGGAGCTTATATCACCATGAATCGAAATAATGGAGTAACAACAAAAACAAAGTTAGTAGTGAAACATGAAAAACAGAATTGATTTGTGATTATTAAAATGCTTTAAATTTTTTGTGTGTGTGTTAAAAATTTTGCCTAAAATATAACATTGTATCAGCTTGACAATGTAAAGGTCTACAAATGACCCTCAGAAGCTCAAGAATCACGTTGTGTACATTTTTTTACAAACGTGTTGGGGGGCATGCCCCCGGACAATCCGAATTTGCCTGCGGTCTCAGGCCCCTTTACATATAAAACGTGTGGTAAAACAAAATAGCTAGATAAATCCCTGTGGTGATATTTTTTGTGTGTGTGTATATATTTTGCCTAAGAAGTTATTTTTGTGGTCTTTGTAAAGGTCTACAAATGACCCTATATGAACATTAGAGATTTTTAAATTTTTCCATTTATTTTTAAAACGACTAATCGCGCCATACTTCAAACATTCAGGGTTGGTAATGCCTGCGGCATCTCAAACTTTACATATAAAACGGTAGTAAAACAAAATAGCTAGATAAATCCCTGAAATTAGTTTAATTATCCATGATATTAAGCGTAAAACGAAAACCGATCATTTTGGGTGCGTCGATTTACCCAAATGGACCCAAATGGAACCCAAATGGAAACTCAAATGGACCCAAATGGAAATCAAGTGGACCCCAATGGAATATATAATACATATATTATATCGTATTTTCAAGTTTTTACTTATTTAAAATATAGAAAATAAAGAAATTAGAACAAAAAGAGAATATTTTGATATCATTATTTTCTTCAAAATTCTTGATGCTATTTAATTCTATTTGAACTAACTGAACATAATTGAATACAAAATGGTATTTACCATGTTTCTATGGCCGTAGGGTTTTTTGGTCATGCAAAATGCAGAAATTATATAAAAAGTAATTAATTAAATTACAATTACTTTGACTTTTTCTTCAATTAAATTACAATTAAATAGCTATTAATAGGTGTAATTAATTAAATTACAATCTTTACAAAAGTAATTAATTAAATTATTTTTTTTATATACTGAAATTTTTTATAATCATTAATAACACAGGGGCTTATCACTTGTATATAAGTGCAGCCTCTGCACAAACAATACATGAAATAATATGCTAATAGGCATTGTGTATCTTTGTGGTTTAAATCATTTTTTTATTTACAAAACAGTAAAGATAACATTCAAATGTTTTTATATTGTTTCAAATGTTAAAAAATTATGATATTTGATTTTTTTTTTTAAAATACTTGTATTAAATTGAAAATTTCTTTTAAAAGTATTCCTATTTCATGTTGACAATTTTACTTCATATTTATTTAATACTTGTACAACCCTTTTGGTAAGTTGAAAAAAAATCATGTACATATACATGTACAAATTGACAATTTTTGTACTCACTTTAAATTTTTAGTTTAATTATCCATGATATCATAATCATGTAAAACGAAAACCCTGGGGTTGATTTGTTTTGATTGCAAGACAGTAGTAATTTTAATACCAACAAGAGAGAACTCCTTTGCACACACATTCATTTATTCCATGTCTTTACACACACATGTTTTCTACATTGAAAAACAACAACATAAATATAATAAATTATGTTTGTGCTCCTCAAAAAGTATTGAAAACATTTAAGGAATGAGATAAACATAAAACAAAAACAAAAAAATCAAATTTTATATAATGATTAGAAGAAACTATATATATACATTATAATTATAAAATACTAGTAAACCGTCTTCTGTATAATTGAAGGACTGAGGATATGTTTTGCAATAAATATATATTGAAGACAGTATAGCTGGGGAGGTCATGGTGACAATATATCTGCATGTGTATTGTATAAAGTAATTGAATGTAATTGAAAAAGTAATTTAAATCTACATGTTTTTAAAGCTGTAATTAATTAAATTACAATTACAAGTAACCGTGTGTTCAATTACATATTCATCCAATCTTTCCACAACAAAGCATTCCTCATAATTGTTGTTAATTACCCCTCCTGGCCCTGATATTGCAATCACCGGACATTTTTTGCCATATTATACTGTCATTTTGGTTTCAAAGATACATTATTAGAGATTAATTTTAAAAAATCCATTTGTAACTGTAAGTTCATTTATGTTCATCATTTTAAATAAGTATATAAATGATAATAGAGAGTAATATTGTTTGATTTCTTTGGGTCCATTTGTGTTTGCAATTGGGTCCATTTGTTTCCATTTGGAAAAATTAATGGGTAAATCGAGCGCAATTTTTAGTGCATCCTTTGCACACGAATTCATTTATTCCATGTCTTTATGTTTTCTCTGTAGAAAAACAGGCAACATATTTGATACAAGCTGGTGCTCCTCAAAAAGTATTGACAGACATTTAAGGAATGAATTAATAGCTACCCAGTTTATACCGTATAAAATGGGTAGCTATTAAATTCATTGCTTATAATTTAATTTTCATTCATTTGATGTAAGAAAAAAAGATGATTGTTCTAACAAAAAGACTTCAGTTTGTACAAAATTTGAATGGTACAAAATTTGAATGTAACGTCAGGCGGATTGATACGTTTTTGACGCAAGTCATTGTGACGTAGGCAACCCATTTTATACGATATAAAGTAAATTTTTTATCCAATCAATTACAGTGTTACAACCAGAATTAAATTATTTTATTATAAACAATAGATTGGTAATGACTAAAGAGAGATATAAACTGTAATTAAACTCCATTCAATACTATGTCAAAATTTACTGAAAATTCTAAAAGAATATTCTAATGCAATTGTTTTGTAAAACACATTTTGATTGGCTAATGCACTGGTGTTTGAAGCAGTAAAACGAGCATTAACGAGTCAGAGTGAAAGCTTTACATTGTGACGTCATAATAGAGCAACACAAAAATACAATGCACATGACATATTTTATATAAAAAAATTCAACAAAATAAGACGTAAACAACAAACAAAATGCATGGATTGCATTAGAATGGGAATAACTGATCTTCTTATTTGGTATTTACGACCGTTAATGCTGATTTAAAGGTTGCAACATCCGTTTTACTAGCTCCCCTTACGCGTCACCGGTAAAACTCAGTTTGAGAGCGTTAAAGCAGCATTAACGGTCACAAATGCCAAATCAGAAGATAGTTATTCTCTAATTATCAATTTGCAGTTTGGTAGCTGTGGGTATTGATAAAAGATATATTCAATTCAATTAACTAATATTTTACAGACAAAAGGAGATCCAGGTGTTTCAGCTTTTCCAGATGGAGACAATTTGTTCAAATGGATTGCTACACTGACAGGGCCATCAGGAACGGTAAGCAAGACCCAACGTTAAATCAGACAGGTCTTTTTGTGGTGACCAATTATTACATAAATCTGGGGCTACTGGTAAATCTTTTTTTTGTCAGGATTGTCCATGTATTGAAATGAATTTTAATAACTTGCTTGCAACAGGAAAAAAAAGACAAGGAGATGTGTGAAAGAGAGTAATTGTGATAGTTTTATAATGGAATGACATCTGTATTTTATGTTCTGTACTATTTCAGGTTTATGAAGGACTAACCTACAAACTGACATTGGAATTTCCCAGTAGCTACCCCTACCAGGCCCCTACAGTGAAGTTTGACACCCCCTGCTATCACCCCAATGTTGACCAGAGTGGCAATATCTGCCTGGACATTCTCAAAGAGAAATGGTCAGCACTCTACGATGTCCGAACAATACTTCTGTCCATCCAGAGCCTTTTAGGAGGTAATCATTTCTAGAGCTGTATAGAGTAGACCCTATAGGGTATAGTATTCTTGTATTAATGTGTGTTCTTGTAAGTCTTTATTGACCTGTTTATTGTTTTCTGACTTTGACAAATGGTGTTGCCAGATCCATGTGAAATTCTCTCAAAACACAATTCCTCCTACAGCTTCGCATCAATTTCAATACGACTTGGTTTACAAGTACTACATTATACTCAAATACACTAAGTACACACCAGAAAAACTTTAGACTTATCAGTGATTTCTGGTCATATCTTTTTCAAGCCATTGGCAAATTTATTTATCTCCCATCAACTCATCTCAATTAACTAGTTTCATTGACCTGGTATTTATTGATAATTATGTTGTTGACTGTAAGACAAGGCAGCTACAGTATTTAAACTACAACATCCCTCCCCCCAAAAATAAGAAAGGACCCACTTGCCCATATCTTATTATAATCCCTCCTTGTTTTCAAAGAGCCAAGGCCATCCTTAAGAAATCGTTTGTTTGGAATTGCTGCCTGAAGGGTTTCAGACACAGGAGGAAGGGAAATTATTTTTTTTTTAATTGAAGATAAATTTTAATCTCAGTAAACAGTCAATACATTTTCTGACTTAAAAAGTACCTACCATCAACAAAAAAACCTAATTTTACATAGATCTGACACTGTATTTCAGTGTTTTGTATTGTGCATGTGATACATGTAATGGGAAAAACATTGGTTGAATTAAAAAAAAAAAACTACTTTTGGTCAATAAAATTTTTTCAGGAGAGGGCATTTCAATGAGGCAGTGCGGGAGGCCATTCCAAACAAACTATAATTTTATTTTGAGGCAATGCGGGAGGCCATTCCAAACAAACTATAATTTTATTTTGGCCCAACATACATTTTCTATCTTCAATATTTTCAGAGCCGAACAATGACAGCCCTCTCAATGCTGATGCCGCTGCGCTGTGGCAAAACCAAGAAACCTACAAGTCTGTCCTCCTGGAGAAATACGACAAAGACGTCCGCAGTAAACAGTCTTAATTAGACGGACCACAGAGATTTTCAGTGCAATATACACATACAGCGTGTCAAGAGACATGCTTAAGTTCAGAAAAAGTTCTCGTGTTTTTTATATCACACAAACATTTATGTGTCAGAGTATCTCTACTTTTCTAATGGATGAGAAGATATTTTGTAGAAGTAGTAAACCATTTTATGATGACAATATTTAGATTTTAATACTGTACTTTAATAACAGAAGAATGAAAATCAAGTGTACATTTAATTCATTTGTGTCAGTGTGGGTGTTTTGTACAGATGTGTTTGAGGAATGTACATGTTGTATGAATGAAGAGTATTTATTTTATATTAACTACAGTCTTTAATTCTATTTCTTACATTCCTTCTTGCTATCCCTCTCTGACACTAAAAACTTGACATATAACCATGCTTGGCACTAAGAAGAGTAAGGTCATGGGATAATTCTGCTTGTATTGAAATACAAATGTTGGTTAATGTGAATTGGTTCTTTGAGCATACGTCAAGCAAGTGTTTCTTCCCTTTTGAGAAAGAATTGTAAAACTTAAGTACAGTGTACATTTGAATAAAATCAGATATTTTAAGTTTTCATAGATTTATTTTCTCATTATTTTAAGTTTGTACAATGGTATTGTCCAGCATTTCCATGGAATTCTTGTTAGGATGGAGACCATCTGGTCATCAAATCAACAAGCGCATTACTGCTAAGACTGTGGCCCCAGCTGTCAAAGCAGTTCCTGAAAGAGAACAAGATGTTTGTGAATCACTTATGCCCCTTGTTGGACTGACATACCTCTGCAAAGAAAATGCATGGAAACTGCAAATTGGAATTTTTCCAAGCCCAAGGTGCATAACTGTCAAAAATTGCTTGATCCTATCTAAAACAGAACCCGACCTAGATATTCTTATAATAGATCTATACCAAATTTCATTTCAGTATGTGCAAACTCTGCAAAAAAAATGAACGTAAACTGCAAATAATTGGAATTTTTCTAAGTCCAAGGGGCAAAACTCTGTCAAAAATTGCTCAATCATACCCAAGATGTGCCCCATGGGCCTTGAGTTGAGGAATTTTCTTACCTATTGAGTACTTGATGACATCATTTCTGTAGGATTCAAATAATGTTCTGACATTTGCCACATCTGTCTCTATTTTGTTATGGAGCATCTGAAGGTTCTTCTCATTCTGAGCATGCTTTTAAAAAAAAAATACATTGTTAATGAAAACGAATTTAGAAAAGCATCATAATAAATTACATAGGTTATAGACAAAACACAAATTCCCTAGATCTGACCATTCAAATGTTATTGCAAAGGTTGAAGTAGGTAAAATTTTGCAAAAAATGCATGAGAATAACTCCCAAGATCAAGATCTCAGATATATGTTGATACCAATAGAAAGGTTTTTTTTGCAAGAAATACCCATGAAATGTGAAATCTGGGCTACTCCAACACATCAAAAGTTAGAAGCAAAGTTTAGTTTTTGCAGAAAAACAGACGGAGCAAAAACTAAATGCGCAAAATCTTGGATTAAGAGGGCAGGAAAACAATATATATTTTCCTTATATAGAAAATATTTTCTGTATTAAAAGTACTGAATTAGCTTGAAGGAGACAAATTTTCCTACTGCTTCAGTTGCTCGGCTTTTCTCGAGATTAATGTCCAGTCTCACATGTCCCTTCAGCTTATCCAGTTCATTTTCTAGAGCTTTCTTTAGCTGCTGTATTTCCATTGTCTGCTTCTACAAAGTGATTAAATGTCATTAAGTAAGTAGATCGACAATCTTTATAACAAGGAAATGATTAAAATCAAAATTCTTTTGAGTTGATAAAATTTTTGTCAATAGAAAACAAATGATGATCTATGATGATCTAAATGATGCCTTTTTTTGGCTACCTGTAAAACCTACCTCTGTTTCACTCCTTAACATTGAGAACTCACTTTTCTCCAGTATAACCATGTCTTTTTTAACCGAGTTGATGTGCATCATCATTTGTTGGGTTGTTATTTCCTAAAATATACAATGTCATATCAATTTTTTTAACCAAAGCATAAATAACTGGTCTCTAACATAATTGCTCCACTACATAAATATAAGATCTTAAAGTTTGTGGTTGGATCTGCTTTTCATCCAAACAGTGGTGGTCGACTTTTTTTAATCTTGTGATTCCATTTATAATTTTTATGTCAGACTCGATCATGTTATTCACCTGATTCAGTATTTTATTGTGATTATGTAGATCTATAAATTTAATGACAAAATCATATAAATCACCTCGACGGTATACATGTATTATATTGTGTTTACCATTTGTGCCTTAGTGACTAGAACCTTGGTCTGATGGTCTATGGAGGAATGGAGGACTTCCTGTACAATGTCTTTTATTGCTATTGCCTGCTTCTCTGTAAAGCCTAAGAAAAAAAAAAGAAAATACAGAACTTCATTATAGCAGTTACAAGAAGTGACAAGTCCAATGCTGGCAAAATAGATCAAGCAAACATATTCAAATTCAGTTCTCAGTTTGATTGCTTTAATGCTCACATGAGCTGAAAGCTCAAATAAGCTTTAACTGAAGGGTTCCAATGTTCCTATGTCATGTGCTGTGTGCAAACTTTTTGCATTTTGGACTTATTCTCAAGGACTAAATTTGCCACAAACATCCTTAGGTGAAGTGAATTTGAATGGCCATGTCTCTTTCAAAGGGAGATAATTAAGAAATAGCATCTTTTTAAGAATACTCTTCTTAATAACTGCTTTCCGGTCAGAAAACTTCAAGGCATCTTTCAAAATATGAACATTGATGTCTTGAATACCAGTGATATATTGAAGTGATCTGGAAGTCCCAACATTTATATGTTTTGATTATGAACTTATTTCTATTTTTCCTTGCCAAAGTGCTTAGATGAGTGATGAGCCCTTTAATACTAATTACCTTCTGCCACAAGTTTCTGTACAACAGCCAAAGTGTCAAAATAATACACCTTTGACTGAATGTTTCCCAGTGGGTTAATATTCCTAACCTCTGATACATCAGAAGGTTTATTTGTGCAGTAAGCTCTCTGAAATTCTGTAAAAAAAAATAAAATAAACATACTACCACACATTTACTGTTTTTTTCAGTCAGTACATATTTTTGTTGGGTCAGTAACAAATAACAGTAATATCTCCATGAGACTAAGAAAAGAAACTAAGAAAATATTTGAGAATACTCTGACAGATTTAATATAAAATACAAATATTTACATTTCCAATGTCTTTGTTCAAGATAAAATTACATAAATGTACTGGTTCATTGACAGACACAGTTAAAAAAAAAATCACGTGAAGGGCGGGACAAATAGAGACAGAAGCGGGGCTTGTAGCATGTGGATTGGAGGGAAAGAAAATGTATAAGGAATGACTATAAGATTTTTTGATTTCATGACGACGATCAATTGATTGGCTTGCGTGATAATTTTATGCATACTCGTCTTCGGCGTTTAAGCAAATTATCACACAAGCCAATCAATTGATCACAGTATGAAATCGAAAAATAAGACAGTTATTCCTTAAATGAATAAAAAATTAACATCTCAGTATACAGCATTAGACAAAAATCAAGTGCCCATGCTATTGCTATATGATCTACCTCAATACATGAACTACTAAACATCTGTTCAGAGTATTCTTTAATATTGTTTACATTCATAAACATATGCCTTGTAGATATATATCTCTCCTAAAATTCAATGTTATTTTCTGTTAAAAGACTTAAACTATAAATTCTTCCAGAATAACTAATAAATAATACCATATCGAGTGAATATATGGGCACTCGAGATGCTGGAAACAAAGGACACACTACGCTTTCTCCTTTCCAGCACTCTATCTTCCGTCGCTACCTTTAGAGATTTTAATGCTTCATTCTCACTAGAAAATCGTCTATAATTGTTATTTAAACAAACTGAACACATAAAAATATCTGAACTTTTTACTTTACCTGATCTTGAACCGCGTAAAAGTCGATACGTAATGATTCCAGCCATGATCTCAAATGTCAAAGGTAAAAGTGAAAGTAGCAGACCAGTGATGAGGTAAGTCGTACGATGATTTATTCATATAATTACAAATTTGATTGATTTCCATTAAAACTGTTTCCAACAATCTTTTTTTTTTTTTTTTTTTTTTAAATTACATCAATAAGTAAAATAAATGAAGATCTCTTAAATGGATAATAAAGCCGTGTTTCTATATGTTAAAAAGAATCTCCAAGCTAGAAAAAAAATATTGCTAATTCACATTAAATTAACAAAATAATTGTACATACAATGTACATGTATATGCATATTTTTTTTTTAACTATGAGTCCCCATTTCTTAAAAAACTAAAGCAAAAGGTCATGTAGTCAGAAAGTTAACCTGTAAGGATGACCAATTAGAAAGAAACATTTACAATGGACGAACTGCATGACTATGATTTTAACGAATGGACAGACAAATTTAACGTAAAAACTCCTAAAATTTCCTTTTCTACCCCCTGGGTATATTTAAGTGTTTATGCTCTTAAATGCCTCCATTAATCTTTAAAAATTGGGGAGGTGAAGTGAACTAAAATCTAAACAATATTAAACTCCATTAAAGATATCAACATGTAAACATTCACATTTTGCCGTTCATAAATTTAAATGAATCGTAGATTTAGCTAGATATATTATTGATCTTCTTTGTACACGTTTATGCTATTATTTTGCTTGACAATTACTATGTGTTTTTAAGGAGAAGAACTAGTAAGTTGTTAGAACTTGTTTCTTATCCTTTAATTTGCTTGTCAATGAAATATGTTCAAAACAAAACAAAGATATATCAACAAATTCAATGTGGATTTATTTATTGTAAAAATATGTATGACTATCTATAAATTAAAATTTACATGATATATCAGTTGTGAACACTTGCTTTACTGTTTACAATGCCAATCAGAAAAGACATTATTTATATACAGCTAATGTACATCTACCCTTACTGTAAATCACCAATTATTCCCCAAAACTTTATATTTGCATAATAAAGCAAGAAGGTCTGCTCGTGAAAATGTCATCTAATGTATATTTTTACTGTTATTTATTAAAACAGCATTAACAAGAACTCATTAAAATGTTGTCAAGATTGTATATACATGTAAATACCAAATACCTTCTTGCTAAAATAAGGTCTTGAGAAAATCTGGTGATTGAGACTAAACAAAATCACTAAGAAGACAACCATAAGTAAGTAACTGGCTAAGTACCCGCTATATACAGGTATACACAAAATCACTTCAAAGGCATATGATAGATAATCAATGATTTAAATCAACACTGAATGCTTGACTAACTTAAACTTGTACATATGAAATTTATGAAAGACTTATGAATGGAATTCTAATAGAACATAGATAACAAAAAATCACTTGTGTTTTAAGAGATCAACCATCAAAAAACAACTCTTTCATATTAAAGCAGCTCCACAAACCAACTTCAAAAGCAAAATAAATCAATTCATGACTCAAATGAACACGGTCTTAATAATGCAAATGATATACATATACATGTACTGTACATACCAACTATATTTTTTGGTTCTATTTTTGTTTTTGCTATTTATGCTTTAATCAAAGTAATCAGAAAATTAATCAACAAATTATGTAATACAATGTACAAATATAAAAATCATTAAAATTTAATTGAGGCAATTGGTTGTATCACTTATTTTGTTTATAAAGTCACATATACTCACTGGGAAAGTAAAACCTTAATATCACAGATTCCATGATACAGTGACAACATAAAATTAAGAAGGGGAAATATTGAGTTTAAAACGGAACTTTTGGTCGTTATCTCGTTTTTCAAATGGATACCAGAAAATAAAGTTCACATCCCAGACATTATTGAACAAGTTAAAAGCCACTCCATCTACGGCTTTGATTGGTTTTAATGGAACAGGTATGACACTCGGATTGCTACCAGGTGTCAGCACATTGACCACAGCGACATCTGGTGACTCGATAGAAAAGCCCGAGTTTCTGCTGTCTGTATAATACACACCCTTGTCTACAGCTGCAAGGAGAAATTTATTTCAATGAATAAAAAGTTTGAAATTTTTATATTTTTTAAGTTTTTCTCTTATTAAGTATGTCATTAGTACATAATTATTTTTAAAACGTTGATTGTTGGTAATTTCAAATAATTGTAAGAACCAAAACAGTAACACATGAAGTAGACTTAAAATCCAACATCTCATACTAAAATCAGCATGCTGAGTGATGTTTTGATTCTGCATTGTTGTATCAATATTTACACAATGAATTGTGTATGAACTTTTCGGTTGTTTCACACCGTGGGCATGACAGGTGGGCAGGAGATGCTCACTTCTCTATGGCACCTGATCCCACCTCTATTGTTTTAGAGGTTTGTGTTTGCTCTGCTACTGATTTGTAGTAAACTGTACATGTATTTGAATAGACTTATGAGATTGAATACTGTTCGTTATCTCCATATTTCATCCATAAAAATCTTCAAAAGAATATAGGATTAATACTTTTATGAAATAATAATTTTCAGTCCTTTTACTTATATTTCTCCACCTAACATGAGCCTAGAAAACTCACCATGTAGAATTTGACTTCCATTAAGAATAACGTTGAGTGGATCAATAAACTGTCCTACTTTATGAATTTTCCAGGACAGATTTGGATTACTGATTGGTCGGAACATAAAATAAATAGACTCTGGCATGCGTGTTGGAGGCTTCTGGAACCACTGGACCTCAACATCAACACCTAAAACATAACAAGGATACGCCATGTATAGAAATATTTCAAAATCTTAAAATTGACTAGGATAACTTATGTACTTTAATCAAAAGTCTTGACCATTTCACCTTGACATTGAGCTGTTGGACTCAGAATCTATAGTGAATTATTGTGTATATTTTTTAATGTGAAGTGAAAAATGTACACATTCATGTTGAAATATGCTTCCAGTACCTTTTATACCACACAAAAGTATGTTCTGAGGGCACTGACATGACTGTATACAGTCAATTCTCGAATTATCGCCATTCGATTCATCGCCATTTTCGCAATACCGCCATGATTTCCCCAGAACGTTTTTCCTGCTATATAAAATTCTCTTTATAACGCCAAATTAGCATACCGCCATTCGCCACCCTGTTTTCATAACAAACGTCCATTTTTAAGTGTCAGTTATCTCGATAATACCGCCACAGGTGCGTGTGGTCAGTGAAGCGCGGCTAATTGGTTGTGACGCTATCCCTGTTGTAAAGCATGTAAAGGCAGACAAGGTACATGCAATTAAGTAATTAAACAAGAATTAATAAACAATAATTCTAACATGAATGTTATAATAATTTTGATTTCTGTTTATTAAAAATCATATAGTCACGGCTTCGCCACGAAAGCGGTAGTTGTTAAAGTAAGCCGATAACGATATTATTTTGATGATCTCTGCCTTAAACGATGCTAAGTTTGCTAAAAAAAAAAAATAATTATACAGTATAACTTGTGAACGTTTCATTATCGATGATGCCATAAACAGTGAATTTATTGAAGAATTCATTTTTCGTACTATCTGCAATATATCAGGACGATCGACCCAGCATTTTTTGTTCACAGACGTGCAGATTTACAAGCATACACATGTACTTGTCTTTATTTCATAACTGCACATTTTGTTTTAGCGAAATTATACATAAAAAAATTACTTGAAGTATTTTTAAATTTTAGAAATATAATTTTATATACATGTTCATGTAATAATAAGAATAGAAACGCTAAATGGTATTTCTAGGAACGGTAACTCTACTTCTTGTTTCCTAAAAATGGGAAATTCAACTCATCGCCAAATTCGTTATACCGCCATGATTTCTAAATTACAAAAGGTGGCGGTTTATCGAGAATTAACTGTACATAACTGTTGTTATGTCTAAGATAGCTTTATGTACATCTACTTACTTGATAATTGCTTAGATGCAGCTACCCCTGTATACTTAATATATATCACAGTCGGAGCACCATACAGAGACATACTCAAGGGATCCGTCATTTGGAGATGTACAATAAAACTGCAACCCTCTGTTAAAAATAAAATAAGCAGTGTTGGTACACATAAAATGAATTCAGACATTTTTTGATAAGCAAAACTTTCCAGGTTCAAAAAAAATATTTCTATCAATATGGTACCTTTACTCTTAAATAAATCTTCCATGGTTACGCTCCAGTACCCACTAGTGGCATTAGATTCAGATATATTTGGTTTTCCTATTCCTAACTGAAAGCGAGGAGAGTAGGGATAGTTTTTGTTGAAGTAATCAAAGTCTGATTGATTCAAGGTCTGGTAGACAAACTTTCCTAAGGGATGGGTGCTATCTGCCCATACGGCCTGTAAAAAATACAAAAAAAAACACCTCTCTTTCCATCAAATAGGAATGTGAAATTAAGGTCAGACGACACGTTCCTCAAAAACATAACTTTTCCCAAGAATTTGTCATTGAAGTATAGGTACTTAAACAAATTTCCTCACAAAAATTTAGGGTACCTTACCAGGCATTTGGACAAGATAGCAGGGTCATATTTCTTATATAACCCTTATAGGTAATGTTCTGAATGGCCTATATCTTGATTTTTAGTGTACTTATATTTAAAAACATTTTGAAACAATGTAGAAATCAGAAGAAAATGACAAGTATGAATAATTTTTTATATAATACCAAGAGATACAAAACATATATTTGAGGAACGTGTCGTCTGACCTTAAAAACATGTATTTAAAACATTTACAATGATTAATATGTCATATTCAGTAACTTGCAATATTGCATCAAGTGATATATGTACCACACACACTTATTGGGTGTAAAACATCTTGAGCTCACCTGACTAGCAGGGTCTTTCATATGTACGAGAGAACCCTGACTATCAAATCCAAACTCAAAACCATTAGAACATTTCTGTATCTCCTGGGATGTACCAATGTTGACGTATTCTGTGAATATCAAAAAATCTTAACACCTGATGCAGATAAACACACAATACCATTTTTCCCATGTACTTAAATACAAGACTGCTTTTTTATAACAGAATCAGTAGCTTTAATAAATATTTGTATTAAAGTTAAGAACAGTTTTGCATTGTATTTTTGATTAAACTCTATGTAAAGTATATCCTCATTAAAGTACATAGTGAAGTTTGTTGAATTTAGAAATGTAAAACTATAGGTAGTTTCCTGGTTTTTTCTGACCTGACATATCTGAGTTTTATGTCAGACTGTTATTGTTTTTTTTAATGTTATTGTTCTTCTTCTGACCTGATATATCTGAGTTTTATGTTAGACTATTATTATATTTCTACTGTTATTGTACTTTCTATGACCTGACATATCTGAGTTTTATGTCATATGTTTTTTATGTTTAAGTGTATCTTTTTCTGACCTGACATATCTGAGTTTTATGTCATGTGTTTATGTTTATATGTGTCTTTTTCTGACCTGACATATCTGGTCTCTTGGCCTGGATCTGATTCAGCTGCTGGACAATCTTGGAGGACAATGTATGATTTCCCAGAGCATCCAATCCAAGGTTTGTAAAATTCCTCTGCTCTTGCCAAGACAAGACACCATTCATAAATCCAAAGGCTATTTAACATAAATGTTGCTGAGGAGTAAATACATTTTCCCAAAGATGACCTTACATAATTTTTATGATGCAATAAATTTTGCATGTTAGCTGTTCATGAATGTATAACTTCCAAACATCATACTGTAGATTAATTTTTTTTTTACACAACTACAAGTACTATTGCAAAATACTGAAAACCTTCTAATATTCACGTAAAGTTTTATTCGCAATTCGTCAGTTTGAAATCAATCTGCAACGATTAATTTTCGTGACTAAGGAAACATTCCCAACAAATACAAAGCAAATAAATGGTTTGGGGCGATTAATATTTGCAAGTTAGAGTAGGTTGCGAATCAAGCAAATATTTCTCGCACACAAACAAAAGTTGGTTTACAGTAGTTCTTAGAATTCAAAAATTAATATGAAAACAATTATTTGCAAAGGAATGGTTGATCAAAATATTTTACATGGATTTAAGACCTACCTCAAAGTAATTTTATTAAGAGATGTGTACTTCTCCTGGAATTGTGTGATTTTTGTTTCTTCACATATATTTAGGAATCTACAGGATATTTCAGCTGATAAAGCCCAGTAATTTGACTTACACAGATTATTCATGATTGGGTAGAATTGTTCGTTGCTCCAGTGATGACTGTCAAACACACTACTCAGTCCCCAAGTATGTTCTCCATGCTTCAGGAAGAAAACACTGGCATTGTAAAATCTGGAATCCGACAATGAGCAATCTGTATAAAGAAACATAATAAAAATTCAAACATAAGTGAAACAAGATCACCTAAAAGAATTTACATCATATCTTTTATCACTGGGGCATATTCAGTTCAAGAAACAAACCTGATTCTGACTGAAGACATGCACTTCTAGCTCTAAACACGGCCCTCATCTCGGCCACTTTACGAGGGTCGGACGCCGACCCCTGGATCCAGGTATCTCCGAACTCCTTAGTGATGATGGGAAGCTTGGACTTGTAGGGGTTTACTGCTTGTACAAAATTCTCCAGTGTGGAAGACTGCACATCAGCGCCAGGGAACTGGGATCTGGCGATTTCATAATACTCCAGTACCTCCTACAACAGCACAATAACAGTGTTAGATCTGTAAAAAGTCAGATGTCACACTATTTTTCCTGTACATATGATATTGGCTACTAGAACTGATCTCTGATTAATCTAATAAAAAAAAAAATGTTCCATTATCAATTATTTGAAAATTAAACCTCTTATACTTTTAAATAAATTTTATATGTAAAAGAAAGCAAACTTATATCTGACTCTCAAGAAGAATACAAACTTTGTAATCCATTGGTGGCCCAGAATTATCTGTTCTAAATGCAAAGCAGAGAGCATGATCGAACCCTGGGAAAGTGGCACAGTCCCTTCTAGAAAGACCATAAGGCTTTGATGGCACAGGGCCTGGGTTGTCAGGGTAACCCCCTAAAAATAATTCAAATCACAGATTTATTTCAATAAATCTGGAGTGATTGAGAGACAAGGCACTTTCTGTATTTGTATGCCTTGTCATGTTTAAAGACTAAAAACTACTGACTAGACTCTATGGTATTTCAGAATCATAATACACATGTATATAGTATGATTAATGTGCAGTTACTGTATACAAGGAAATTTTTGCCCCCGTTTTATTTTCGCCCCTTGATTGCGTTTTGATTGGGTGAATTTAAAAATGGGGCAAATTTAAATTACACCTAATAATTTCTTAAACAGAACTATGACTGGGCGAATTTAAAACGGGGCAAAATTGTTCACAAGTTCAAAAGGGCGAAAATAACCCTGTATACAATATTTAAGAATTCAGCTGAAGAATCTAGCGGTAGAATTCAGTTCTGTGCTAAATTACCTGGATGCCAGATTCCAATGACAGAGCTATTTTTAAACTGCCAGTTAAAGATGGGAGGAACAGCGGGAGGGGCTGTTACAGTATTCACCCCAACACTCACAGCTTCCACGCCTAAATCTGTCAAGATCGGCAATACTGCTTGGGTCATAGCTGCAAATGAAATTTAAAGTAGCAATTAACTTTACTGAAATTACATACATGTATGTACATCTTGCTGAAAGAAATCAAATTTGCTTTCCTATCTTATATTCAGGAATTTCAAACTTCACGAGAACAATAATTAACTGCCCTATTCAAACACAACCTGACACAATTCATGTATGCATGAAGAAATCAAGTTGAAATCCACTGTGTAATTTTTTCAATAAATGTTAATGTTCAGTAAATTCTATAATTGATTAGATGACTGGTATACAGCCTTCTACTCACCAGATACATCTCTCTGACTGAGTGTTCCATGTTTTCTCTTGTTAATGTTCAGTAAATTCTACTCACCAGGTACATCCCTCTGGCTGAGTGTTCGGTGCTTTCTCTTGATTCCCAGCTCCTTGTCTAAGTCTATACTCAGCTGTACACCAAACCTCACCATCAGAGGGTCCATGGTCTCCATATACATGTTCATGGGGCCGGCGTGCCATGTAATGTCTCCCCTTTTTGCTGCAGCTACAAAGTCTGCCTTCTCTGTCTCATTAGGGCACTGCATGATAATTATTAATATCATAATTTATTCATCACAAAGTCATGCATAATGGATCTACTTACAGTTGGAAATAAAAAGAGAAAAGACAGGAGACATCAAACTCTGAGATTTTAAACCATTGGCCTCAAAACTGACCCGAGCCACAAATTAGGTGCAGATGATTAATTTCTTTTCTTTTATTTTCCTTCTTTGTTTAAAAAATATTATGACTCCATGATGTGGATAAAGGGATGTGATATTTAAATATAGGCTAATATGTAAACATAAAAGTAGTTGTTCCATTTGATATAGAAGATGTGCATGTATGAATTAGAGAGCATAAGTAAACATAACAATCTGACATCCATAGGGGAAAAATTGATTTATTATAGTAAAAATATCTTGACCTCAAAAAGTTTTGATTTATTCAAAGTTAAATAAACACAACATTTGAATGTTACAATATCAACTTGATACACATGGTCAAACTATTTTGGTGTGATTTTTAACTATACACATGCTAAGACCAGGATTGTGGCTTTTCTATCCACCCAGCATTAATATCTACCAGAATATTTCTGCCGCTAGAACTTAGTAACCTGAAGTCCTAGACACTCACCTGTAGTTTAATCCCAGAGAGAACAAGATTTGGGGGACAGTGTAGGTACAGTCTGACAAGCCAAGGGTGGGTTGTATAGATTTGCTTCTCATAGTAACCCAGTTCTCTCAGTGTAGCCGAGGTGTTGATGGAGCGTGGGAAGTACTCCGTAAAGTACTTGTTTAGAACATTGTTAACAAATCCAAGTTCCTCTGGAAGCAGGCCATCATATCCTACATCTGTGGAATGTCAAATGATTATATTGTATTTGTGATCACTGTTAGGTTAATTTGTACATACAAGTAGCACAAGGTATAAGGAATGAAATTTAAATATTATCAATACATTATGTAATACATTGATTTCAGTTTTCTCCATGTTAGCATATGTTGGAAATACATGTATCTGAAGAAATTTAATATGACAGATGTATAAATGTATAATTATATTTTCATACCTAAGTGATTCATAAAAATTAGATGGACATGCTTGATATCTTCACACTTTACAAACCCAACCAGGGCAATAGTAAGTAGAACTTTAATCTGAAATGATCAAGAAAAGTAGTAGAATTATGAATATTGCAGAAACAAAAGTGCATTAGGCCATCCTTAAAAAATTGTTTGTTTGGAATTGCCGCCTGAAGGGTTTCAGACACAGGAGGGAGGGAGGGAAATTATTTTTTTTTTAATTGAAAACCTAATTTTACATAGATCTGACACTATATTTCAGTGTTTTGTATGGTGCATGTGATACATGTAATGGACAAAAAAAATTGATTAAATAAATAAAAAATCTTCCTAAAAAAATTTTTTCAGTTTCAATGCATTATTTTAACAAAAAATTAAAAGTGTCCTATACACACGGACATACACAATTTGTTCAATTCCTTCTCAAACAATTTGATTTATTGGTTTGCCACAAGTATTATTTTTTTTTAAAATTGGATTTGAAGCAAGCTGTGTTCAGAAAACTGACCAACCTACAGCAATTTAAGAACAAGAATAAATTGATAATAGACTATGAAATGTTAACATGGTTAAGGAGTTTGTAAATTTCTTGAAGTAAGTAATGCCAAATAGTAAATACATAGATAAATTTAAACTGGGACTGTCCAAACGGGACAAAATACCCCCGCTGGGTTTTTCAGAAGTAAGTTTTTCCATAAGAAAGATATATATCAAACATGAATTATGAAATTTTTCTTCCAGTGACCTTGAACTACCCCAAATGACCTTAGGTCAAGGTCATGACACACCCTTGGGTCTTGGGCAATCTTTGTGTGAAATTAGAACCTACCAAGTTTATCCATAGTTACGAAACATATGGACCGGACACGAATTATGAAATTTTTCTTCCAGTGACCTTAAACTTCCATAATTGACCTTGGATCAAGGTCATGACAAACCCTTGGGTCATGGGCAATCTTTGTGTGAAATGAGAACCTACCAAGTTTACCCATAAAAAAGATATTGACCGGACACGAATTATGAAATATTTCTTCCAGTGACCTTGAAGTTCCCCAAATGACCTTGGGTAAAGGTCATGACACACCCTTGGGTCATAGGCAATCTTTGTGTGAAATGAGAACCTACCAAGTTTATCCATATGAAAGATATGGACCGGACACGAATTATGAAATTTTTCTTCCAGTGACCTTGAACTTCCCCAAATGACCTTGGGTCAAGGTCATAACACACCCTTAGGTCATGGGCAATCTTTGTGTGAAATAAGAACCTACCAAGTTTATCCATATGAAAGATATGGACCGGACACGAATTATGAAATTTTTCTTCCAGTGACCTTGAAGTTCCCCAAATGACCTTGGGTCAAGGTCATGACACACCCTTGGGTCATGGGCAATCTTTGTGTGGAGTAGTCGATTCTAATTTCCCTCCGTAAGAAAGATATGGACCGGACACGATTGCACAGACAGACAGATGGACAGACCGACAGACAGACAGACGGACAAGGTGATTCCTATATACCCCCAAAAACTTCGTTTGCGGGGGGTATAAAAAGGCTAAAATTGATTTTTTTGAAAAGTAGGTCAATATTCAATATTAAAATACAAGATTTTTGTCCTTGAACATGTTGAATATTGAATGTCACAAGGTTGAAAAGTCAAATTTAAATCAATCAATTTCTGAGAAGAACAAACCACTGAAAAGAGAAAAGAGAATGAAGAGGTAAGAAAGACAGGATAAGTTCCTCTGCAGATGTCATAACAGTACTTCACTTGAAGTTCACGTCAAATCATGGCTGATGCAAAATAAATCCTGAATCTCCCCTTCTCATTCAGGCATTTTGATATGAGCTGGAATTGATTTTTTTTATGAGATGAAAAACATGTAAACTTCATCAGAATTATTAAAATTTAGGGCATGCTAATTTTTCTATATACTGTATTTGAGCACATTGTTCAAACAAGCAAATTTTTATGGCTATGTATTTTTTGGTACTTAAAATCTTTATAGTGAAAAAATTAAAAACTTTTTATCTTACCATGTGAAAAAATTAAAAACTCCCAATAATCTTTTGTGGTGCATAGCAACATGGTGGATAAAACATAGCAACAACTTCCTTGAAAAAAATTACAAACAACGAATTAATGCAATCTCCATGCCACAAAACTATCGTTTGCATTCTAAGTCAGGAGGACTTTTTATTTGACGTCATTACTTTCGTCACTTAAACAGCTTGGGTATTTCCGATTTTGTCAGAAACTTCCGAAAAATTTGGAATCTTGATCTCGATGCCTGGGAAGTGATTTCTTTTTATTCTTTTCATCTCCTTTTAATGAACTGAGGATAGGCAGTGCAAGTAATTTTTGATAGTAAATGACTGCGCTCACCCCAACGGTCGCACCTTGAAACATATAAGCGCAGCCAGCGTCGCGAAGCCACGCTCTTAACTGCAAGCTCTAACGACAATGCCTGGGCAAAGAGAAAATTCGGACTACTTCACATATGAGGGTTTGACATTAAGGCACATCCGACAGACTGAGTCTAGTAAATGCTGGGTATGGTCGGGTAAAAAGTCTGTGTACTAGACCAACTGGTCGTGTAAGAAAAATTAAAAACATATCATTTATTGTCAATGAAAAAATAAAATTAAAATGTTTTTAACTGTATAGTAGAAAGAAAACTACATACGTTACAGACAGAGAGACTGATGCACCATTTTTAACAACATTCATTGACGGCATTCGTAACTACTCGGCCATTTTCCTAGAGAGATACAATAAGCTATTTATTGTTCACGAAAATGGCTGAGTGGTTACGATTGTCATTGTCGAAAAATTCACATTTATTACATTGGTTTACCATGTAAATGGCAATAAAATTATAGTAATAAAAATAATCTTACTATGCAGAAATTCTCGGAACAATTTTAATGGTATCCACATTATTAAATTAATGTATACAAGTTGATAAAATTAGGATTAACAATCACAAACCGCATGTATATGACATAGTTTCGAAGTTGATATGTGTGCGGGAAAATGTTGTTATATAAATACGAATTTACAGCATCTGCACAGAAAATAAGAATTTTATCAGTATTTTGTACGTTAAATATTTTTTCTCAAGTTTGGTCAGGTCTAGTGGTTAAAGGGTCAGGGCTAGTAAAAATTTGCCAGAGTAGCCCAACTGGTCTAGTATTCCAAAAGCTTAATGTCAAACCCTGCTGCACATTCATTCCATAAAATTTTTTGCCGCAGTAATTTTGACCCACAATGCATCGCTTTGTGCACTAATGTTAAAGCAACATTCTCACGAGAATAACGACAAAAGTTGAACGAATAATAAACTTGCCTTGGTTTTAATGAAATTATCTGTTTATTGCAGAAAATAGTCATATACTAGCTGATTGAAATCAGCCCTGTTCAGGTTTCGGTTTGGTAAAGCAACGAACAACGTCATGTGACTTCAGAGTCTTAAACGCATCGAATGTCACGTGTGGTTTGACGAGTCCGATCTAAATGAAAACTGGATAAGTATCTGCGCTCGCCCTAACGGTCGCACCATCACCATATTAAAGAATTGTTTTACAAGATCTGAAAAGGAAACTTCTCAGAAGTTTGCTTTCAATTAATTACATATACTCAAACCTGCACATTTTTGGTAAAAATATATAGCAGAATTTAAAACCGGTGTGCAACCTACTGTCCAGTGGAACCCACAAGGGAAGTAACTTCGGGGAGGCTAACAAAAGAGATGGAATATGATGTAATTCGTAAAATTTGGAGAGTCAGAGACTGGATGAGGCAGAGAAGCTAGAAAAATTTGAACATCTTATGCTGCGAGCTGCGCGGGTTTTAAAGATGGGGTGGGGGCGGGGGCTACCTCTACTTTCACTTTACAATCCATTGCATAACATCAATCCTTGGATACACACTTTTCATGGAAGTCAAGTCAACTATTCCATCGTATTAAATGAAGCAAATATTGCACTAAGACTATAAATAAGTTAAACACTTAATCAAAATGCATACCATTTTCATTTTTCATGTCATTCACAAATGTCAAATCCAAACATTGGTCGCGTGATTGAACAGGAAGTAAAACATTATTTATAAAATTAGAACCTAATACATGTAACCTGGCTCAGCGCAATGAAAAATACTATTAATTTATGCTATTCCTATTTACACTAACAATAACAACTGAACAGTGTTATATTGCTGCTATTCTTGTTTAACATAAAAGTATTGAGTGGAATTATTCTTCATTTCCGATTTGTGTTTTTATGCATTGAACAGGAAGTATTGAGTGGAATTTTAAATGAAATATATTTTGCGGAAACATTCAATCACGAATTCATTTTTGGATTTTCCTTGCTGGTCTTCATTTCCGATTTGTGTTTTTATGCAGAAGATGGAAACGTTTCCGAGTTTTTGTTGTTTTGAACGAATCCTTTTATAAATATCTCTTTGTCGTGTAGAGTATGTCTGCTGATGACAATAAAACAATACAGGTAAATAATAAAAGTAAAAAAAAACAACAAATAAACTATTCCTTTCGACAGTGTTCTTACAAAGAAAGTGAAACGAAAGAGAAAGTAGATCAAACAACATCAACTTTGTCCAGATTTATATTTTTAAAAATCCTTATGGAACAAATTGTGACATCAACAGTATATTGTAATGCACTCTGCAGTATTTTCAAGAGGGTTTATTTTGTGGGATATGTGTTTTTCTAGATATGTCTGAATGAAATAAAATAAAAATCCCTGAACTAATGCTTTTTAAAAATAATATGTTGACGGTGCGACCGTTATGGTGAGTGCAGATATTATTTTGTAATAATTTAGATCGGGCTCGTCAAACTGCACTTGACATTTGGTGCGTCTAGACTCTGACGTCACATGATGTCTTATGTAAGTCACATTTCCAAAAAGAAACCTGAACAGTGCTGAAAGTAAATGAAGAACATTTCAATTACTATTTATCTTCAATATTTATCCATTAAATCAGTGCATGTTTACTTTAAGTTGAATTTTTTCTGCTATTCTCGTGAGTACGTAGCTTAAACAAGTGATGCATTGTGGGTTCTAATTACTGCGTCAAAAAATTCTATCGAATGAATGTGCAGTAGTCCGAATTTTCTCTTCGCACAGGCATTGCTTTAAGAGCTCACAGTGACGAGCATCGCGAACGCTGTGCTCGCTATCATTAATGTATTTGTAAGACAGTTATGATGCTCACTGGTATATACAATTTTTAGGATGATGAAATTGAAGCCTTATCTGCAATTTATGGGGACGACTGGGTTACCATTGACAGTGAATCTCGGAATTACTGCATAAAAATCAAAGATGAAAATTCGGAAAATATTATTTTGATGGAGGTTTGTTACTGCAAAAAAATGGTTTTGATTTAAAAGAACACTTTTATTTTTCTTTAGTACTTCTAGTCAATTGATAAACAATTATAGGAAACATTAAAATATATTAAGTTATCCATGACATTTAAAGTTGATTCAAGTATGTTTTTCTGCCTAGTTTAGTCAGTTATGTACAAGTAGTAGTTACCGTATAAGTTTTTAATTGGTTTTCTCCAGATACCCTATAGAGAGGTTAAAAGGTCACGAGAAGGCGCAGCCTTCAGTTTACCTTTACAAGTAACCTCTCTTTAGGGTATCTGGAGAAAACCAATTAAAAACTTATATGGTAAGTCACATGTACTATAGCACTCTCAGATTTCCTAATATGGCAGGGAGATGATGTACAAGTTCCAAAAACATTTCCTTATATGGTTTGTCACCTGACATAGTTATAGTAGCACGCGCTATACATTGTTCATGTATATTAAATTTTATTGCTCGTTTTGCGCACTTGCATTCAAAAAGCGAAATGGACTAACGTGATGAAGTGAGTATGGATCTTAATTTTCTTGAACTGCCGCAAAATTTTGAGTGGGACAATTCTATTGATGATCAAACCCGCTCACAGATGTAAATGTTTTTGATGGTATTGGGGATTTATCTCTTACTCAAGCGGATTTTCATTTGACCCAAGAACCGGTTACACCCGAGAATGTTATACAGCTGTTGGACCGTTCTGACGATCGATGTGGGAAGTTTTATGATGATATGGAAACCCTTCTAAAGTCTACTGAGAGTAAAATCGCAAGAAAAAATACAAGTTGAAGTGTGAAAACTTTGAAAGAATAGCCTACCTATCTGCGCGTGTATTAGGTACCGGAAGTGAAATTCCTGAACTTGAGAATTTAACCGAAACTGCACTCATTAACAAGTAGGCCAAACTAAAGGTAAATTTGTTGTGGAAGCTCGCAGAAAGATGGCCAGCCATATCGCCCAAAAGCACTGTACATGTTATGTGTCAGAATACTAAGGTACTTTTGGGAATGTGGCATACACGAAAATTTCATCGTAAGTTTTTAAATGGATTGTAAATCAAGATATTATCATTTCTGCTTGAAAGATGTACCTGGTAGACCTAATTCATTTTTTGTTTTTTGCCAATATTTTGTAAATGTGTATGTACGTGACACCTTATCAAAGATTGAAAATAAAGTTTTGTTTTGTATGCAATTCAAGGCTCCGCCTATAGGTTATGAAGGCTCCGCCCATGGGTTATGGTGTAGATAACCCACGGATAAAACAATAGAAAAAATGGCGTCCTATGGTACATTGTCTTTTAAATTTTCAGATCATGTTTGTTTCCTGCTAAAATCATTCTAAACTTGTGGCCTATACATGCAGATATAGTTGATATAGTTTTAGATGGGGGCTTTTAACACTGCGATTCAAAACTCATTCTTCAGTTTATTTTACAAGTAAAATTACTTTGATGGAAGTTTTGTGACACGTTAATTTCAAATGACATATATTTCAGATTTTGTTTCCTCCTTATTATCCGAAGACATCACCTCCTCAGTACACATTAAGGTAAGACCCAGTAATGACCAAAGGGACCAGAAATTAATGAATAAGGATGTCTTCAAATTTCAAAAGAGAGAAAAATTGGCCAGAAATAAGTCAAATAACACTACTCATTTGATATTATTGGATACTGTAGAAGTACTTTTTTCTGCGTGGTATTAATTTAAGCTATGTACGCGGTCACAAATTTTTCGCGGAAATTTGTCCAAGCGTATTCAATATAAGTGTAAGGCATAAAGTGACAGTCTAGGAAATCCGTGTAATTTTCTACACGCGGATTTAACAGAAATTGAGATTCCGCTGAATTATGACCCCGTGGAAAAAAATACGTTTACAGTATTAAAAAGCTTGCAATCAGTGATGGTGGAAAATTTCAAATAATTTTCTCCTGATCAATACATGACAATCAGACATTAAAATTATTACAGAACTGGGCACTGTTTAGTATAGACATAAACATAGTAAATGTTAATAAAGCACTTATGTATCAGTAAAGGCTAAAAAAGTTATATAGCAAATAAATTTTCTTTTCTCTGTTACAAGTAACTTTTTTTATTTTTAGTGCACCTTGGTTAAGAAGAGAGGAAAAAATCAGTCTAGAAGATGCATTAGCAGATATATACTGGTATATTTATGAAACACACATTTCTTTCATTGAAAGAGAATGTTCAAAATGGGATTAATCTGGAATTTTTAAATATCAAAAACCTGAGTATTGTTTGATTTTTTTTTATTTAAAAAGCAAATGTTTCTATTTTAAAGTCTGTTTAAACTTTTAGATAGTTCTACAGAATCATTCTACGCACAAGGGAACAAACTATGTATTTTCTTTGTCTTCTGTACCTTTTGTCATTGACTAGATAAGGTGAGAGCTAAAATCAGAATTCACATATGTATATTTTTAGTGCAAATATTGGAGAGAGTGTCATTTTCCTTTGGGTTGAAAGAATACGAGAATATTTGCAGGAGAAAAGTGGCGTAAGACAAGAAAATCCAGGTAACTTCCAAACTTAGTTAGGATTACAAAGTTGACGTGGAATAATTTAGAATTCATATTTATTCATATACAGTAAAACTCGTTTAGTATGGACATGGAGATTGTGAATCCACAGATAAAGCGAATTAACTTGGATCCTGAGTTATATACATTTAACGAATTCCTTATATATATATAACAAATTATGTATATGGTGAAGTAATTTTATAGGTTCCAGTGACTTCGTTATAACCGAGTTTTACTGTAAATTTAGAGCTTAAAATAGATGGACAAATAATAGAATTTGGTAATTTCACCTGTACATTAAACACAGTAAGTGAATTTCGTCCAAACTTCAAATAAAATTTTACACATCACTTCTTTCAGATTTAACACAGAAAAATATCATGAAATATTGAATATAGAAATGTTTTATGTACAGTATACTGTAGATGCACAAATTTTTGTGGGGATAAAATTGGGTTTTTTGATGTGTCATCAAAAATAGTTTCGTGGGCATTTTTTAATTTTGTTGTTTTGAGAGTAAGCCTATTCAATATATAGTCATATAAAATTTCGTGTGGGATTTAATTTCGTTGATAATTGTTGACAACGAAATAAACGAAATTTAATCCCCCACGAACATTTGTGCTTTTACAGTATTCACATTCAGTGAATATCATCTTTTATTTCTTTAAAATGAAAACCCTTGTTTTTAATCAGTCATTAAATACCACTAAGTTTAAAGACACTGAAGCAGCGGCTATGTACATATAACATTCCAAAATATCATAAGAAAAGCAATGTTTGATTTATTAGAATACCAATCATAATCTATCAATTAAAAATAATTAATTTTGCAATTGGCAGTTAGTCCAACGAGTTCACATGATGATACAGATGAGATTTCAAACGAGGAAGATGATTGTGCTGAGTACAGTTTTACAAAGATACAGGAAGAACTCGACAAGTGCCCCACGGAGGAGCAGGAGGAAATCAGAGAGGGTGGGTAGATCCCAACAAATAAAGCACAACCTGAGAGGGTGGGTAGATCCCAACAAATAAAGCACAACCTGAGAGGGTGGGCAGATCCCTACAAATAAAGCACAACCTGAGAGGATGGGCAGATCCTTATTTATAAAGCACAACCTGAGAGGGGGGTAGATTCCAACAAAAAAAGCAGATCCTGAGGGGGGGGGGGGTAGATCCCAACAAATAAAGCACAACCTGAGAGGGTGGGTAGATCCCAACAAATAAAGCACAGCTTGAGAGGGTGGGCAGATCCCTATTTATAAAGCACAACCTGAGAGAAAGGGTAGATCCCAACAAATTAAGCACATCCTGAGAGGGTGGGTAGATCCCAACAAATAAAGCACAGCTTGAGAGGGTGGGCAGATCCCTATTTATAAAGCACAACCTGAGAGAAAGGGTAGATCCCAACAAATAAAGCACATCCTGAGAGGGTGGGTAGATCCCAACAAATAAAGCACTTCCTGAAAGGGTGGGTAGATCCCAACAAATAAAGCACATCCTGAGAGAGTGGGTAGATCCCAACAAATAAAGCACAGCTTGAGAGAGTGGGCAGATCCCTATTTATAAAGCACAACCTGAGAGGGTGGGTAGATCCCACTAAATAAAGCACAACCTGAGAGGGTGGGTAGATCCCAACAAATAAAGCACATCCTGAGAGGGTGTGTAGATCCCAATAAACCACTAAACCACAACCTAAGAGAGTGGGTAGATCCCACTAAATAAAGCACAACCTAAGAGGGTGGGTAGATCCCACTAAATAAAGCACAACCTGAGAGAAAGGGTAGATCCCAACAAATAAAGCACATCCTGAGAGGGTGGGTAGATCCCAACAAATAAAGCACTTCCTGAAAGGGTGGGTAGTTCCCACTAAATAAAGCACAACCTGAGAAGTTGGGTAGATCCCAATAAACCACAACTTAAGAGGGTGGGTAGATCCAAATAAATCATAACATGAGAGGCTGGGTAGCTCCCAACAAATAAACCATAACCAGAGAGGGTGGGTAGATCCCAATAAACCACAACCTGATAGGATGGGTAGATCCCAACAAATAAAGCACAGCTTGAGAGGGTGGGTAGATCCCAACAAATAAAGCACAACCTGAGAGGGAGGGTAGATTCCAAAAAAATAAAGCACCATCTGAGTGGGTGGGTATATCCCACGAAAAAAAGCACAAACTTAGAGGTTGGGTTGATCCCACTTAATTAAGCACAACCTGAGAGGATGGGTAGATCCCACTTTATAAAGAACAACCTGAGAGGGTGGGTAGATTCCAATGAATAAATCATAACCTGAGAAGGTGGGTAGATCCCAACAAATAAAGCACATCCTGAGAGGGTGGGTAGATCCGAATAAATAAAGCACAACCTGAGAGGGTTGATAGATCCCAACAAATAAAGCACATCCTGAGAGGGTGGGTAGATCCGAATAAATAAAGCACAACCTGAGAGGGTTGATAGATCCCAACAAATAAAGCACATCCTGAGAGAGTAGGTAGATCCCAACAATAAAAAGCACATCCGGAGAAGTTGGGTAGATCCTAATAAACTACAACTTGAGAGGGTGGGTAGATCCCAATAAACCACAACCTGAGAGGGTGGGTAGATCCCACTTAATAAAGCACAACCTGAGAGGGTGGGTAGATCCCACTTAATAAAGCACAACCTGAGAGGGTGGTTAGATCCCAACAAAAAAGCACAACCTGAGAGGATGGGTAGATCCAAACAAATAAAGCACATCCTGAGAAGGTGGATAGATATTAACAAATAAAGCACATTCTGAGAGGGTGGGTAGATCCCAACAAATAAAGCACATCCTGAGAGAGTAGATAAATCCCAACAAAAAGCACATCCTGAGAAGTTGGGTAGATCCCAGTAAACCACATCTTGAGAGGGTGGTTAAATCCCAACAGATAAAGCACACCCAGAGAGGGTGGGTAGATCCCAACAAATAAAGCACATCCTGAGAGGTTGGGTAAATCCCAACAAATAAAGCACATCCTGAGAGGGTGGGTAGATCCCAACAAATAAAGCACATCCTGAGAGAGTAGATAAATCCCAACAAAAAGCACTTCCTGAGAAGTTGGGTAGATCCCAATAAACCACATCTTGAGAGGGTGGGTAAATCCCAACAAATAAAGCACATCCTGAGAGGATGGGTAGATCCCAACAAATAAACCACAACTTGAGGGGGTGGGTAGATCCCAATAAAGCACTACCTGAGAGGTCGGGTAGATCTCACTTAATAAAGCACAACCTGAGAGGGTGGGAAGATCCCAATAAATAAATCACAACTTGAGAGGGTGGGTAGATCCCAACAAATAAAGCAAAACTTGAGAAGGTCGGTAATTCACACTAATTAACAACCAGATAGGGTGGGTAGATCCCAACAAATAAAGCACAACCTGGAAGATGGGTAGATCCCAACAAATAAAGCCTGTCTGAGAGGGAGGGAAGATCCCAATAAATAAAACACAACCTGAGAGGGTGGGTAGATCCAAATAAATAAATCACAACTTAAGAGGGTGGGTAGATTCCAACAAATACAGCACAACCTGAGAAGGTGGGTAATTCACACTAAACGACAACCAGAAATGGTGGGTAGATCCCAACAAATAAAGCACATCCTGAAAGGTTGGGTAGATCACAACAAATAAAGCACAACCTGAGAGGATGAATAGATCGCAACAAATAAAGCCCATTCTGAGAGGGTGGGAAGATTCCAATAAAAAAAAACAACCTGAGAGGGTGTGTAGATCCCAATAAATAAATCACAACCTGAGAGGGTGAGTAGATCCTAACAAATAAAGCACATCCTGAGAGGGTGGGTAATTCACACTAAACCACAACCAGAAAGGGTGGGTAGATCCCACTAAATAAGCCACAACCAGAGAGGGTAGGTAAATCCCAACAAATAAAACACAACCTGAGAGGGTGGGTAGATCCCAAGAAATAAAACACAACCTGAGAGGGTGGGTAGATCCCAAGAAATAAAACACAACCTGAGAGAGTGGGTAAACCCTTATAAATAAAGCACAGCCTGAGAGGGAGGGTAGATCCGAACAAATAAACCACAACCTGAGAGGGTGGGCAAATCCCTATTTATAAAGCACAACCAGAGAGGGTGGGTATATCCCAACAAATAAACCACAACCAGAGAGGGTAGGTAGATCCCAACAAATAAAGCACAACCTGAGAGGCTGGGTAGATCCCAACAAACCACTAAACCACAACCTGAGAGGGTGGGTAGATCCCAACAAATGAAACACAACCAGAGAGGGTAGGTAGATTCCAACAAATAAAGCACAACCAGAGAGGATGGGTAGATCCCAACAAACCACTAAACCACAACTTGAGAGGGTGGGTAGATTCCAACAAATTTAACACAACCTGAGAGGGTGATGATGTTGATCATCCGCGTATTTGAAACATGTGAATTTAATACATGTATTACACTTAATAACAAGCATTCATTCAAGTCATGGAGTTCTGCATTCTATACAATCAAGCTAATGCCAACATTGTATAGGTTGCGTCTACTATTAGCATTTTTTGCCAGCTCCTTGTTTTCTTGTGACTAGTGTGCATAAAGATTGATAATTTTAGGCCCAATAGAATTAAAGTTAGGAGCTAGACATGACACAAAAAGCTTATAGATATGAACATGTATAGACCACTGTAAAATGATTTGTAAATTACCAATTTTGTTGTTACAAATTTTGTGTTTTAAAGACAAGTTTACCCATGAGTAGACCTTTGTAAAATGATTTGTATTAGAATTACATGTGTTTTAGATAAGTAAAATGATATGTAAATTACACACGTTTTAGAAATCAACTGTCCAGAGATTCACCATGGGGAAAGTTTTATGGACAGAAAGAGTGTGTTTCAAGGTCACATAGCCTCCATATCTCATACTAAACAGGTAGGTTTTTAACAGTTTGTTGAGTAGAATTATTTGTACAATTTTTTAATGTTATCAAGGTTCATTATCATTAAAAAAGACCATGCACTAATTAAGTTCATTGTAAATATCAATAATTTTAAGAATTTGTTATATTTTAAGGGAAATTTAAGCTGCAATAAATTAGAATTTTTATTGCATAAGTAAAAGTTAATACATGTATCACACTAATTTTTTTTCTTCTTAGGTTGAATTAGTCCTAAAATCTCTTTACCAAAGTAAAAAGATTGCTTCTGCAACACACAATATATATGCATACAGGATATGTAAAGATGACCACTCAGAAGTATTTTACCAAGGCTGTGAGGATGATGGGGAAACTCAAGCAGGGTCCAGGATGTTACACCTGATGCAGGTAATGTTAAATGTTATAGACAATATCTGTAGGATGTACATTATTGTATTAGTTATAAATAGTTGGTGATATTGTTGAATTGTATTCCAATCATCAGAAAGAGTAAGCTGTGTTGTATTCTAATAGGATCAATAGGATGTGTTGTATTTTAATAAAAACAGTAGGCTATATTGTATTCTCATAGGATTTGTATGCTATATTGTATTCTAAAAGGAGCAAGAGGTTGTGAGGCCAACAATAAAAAATGATTTGTTTGATGTACTCTGACCGGTGCGTCAAAACTGCCCCTACCCAATCATTTTTTTCTGCACTTTTTTTTTTCATTAATTTCCATAGAAATAGAAATTTTCATTTTAAAGCTAAGGTATATAATTTATCTCGAAAGGATGCTTTCAATCGAAAGTTTTTGTAGCAGTAAAAATAAAGTTTGTAAAGCTATCCAATGTATAATGAAAACATCAATAAATTTTTGAGTCTTCAATTTCTATGACATTTTCAATTTGTTCAATACTTCTATGCATGCAGAAAAAAACTATTTACCTACCTACCCACCTTGAAAAATGTGGGTCAGAGTACATTAAACAAAAATATTTTTAATGATGGCCTGATGTATTTTATTTGGAGCAGAAGATTGGTTTGTATTTGAATAGGAGTGGTAACCTGTGATGTATTAATTAGGCAAAACAATATGATTAACAAAAGGATTGTAGAAAATGATGAAATTGAGCAGAGTAAACTATCATAAATATTGTTAAATCAGGAATGTAATTAACCTTTTGATTTGAGACTCAGATGAGGTGTTTGATTCTATCCTGTAGATAGTAGATGCCCGTAATGTGATAGTAGTGGTGACTCGGTGGTACGGAGGAATACATCTCGGACCAGATCGATTTAAACACATTAATAACTGTGCCAGACAGCTCTTAGATGAACATGGTTATATCAAATCAAAGGTCAGTTGGTCTGTATCGTAATTTTAGTTACAGTTAAACCTGGGTATCTTGAACTTAAAAAAACTATATGTATCAAAGAAGGGAAAGAAAATAAATTCCTTAATACAGAGGGGAACATTGATTATATTTTGAGAATCTATGGCATTCAACATTTGATGTTCAAGATACCACATTTCAGTACACATGTATACTACATGTACATGTTATTTTAAATATTTGTTAGCATTTTTTCTTCTCAATTCCCTGAGTACAACCAAGTTTTAAGTCAGGGCGTACTACTCAGTTGAAGTTACGGAAATTTCAACAACCTTGTTGAAAGTAAGAACTTGGTTAAGGTTATGGTTATTATGATGACCTTGATAACATGACCTATCTTTGGGTTGTATTTTGGCTGACTTGTTTCTGAACAATTGTAAGGCCTTTAAGAAAAGAATTTATTTTTTGAAGATTCATGAGGTTATGAACTATGACACTTCACGTCGGCATATTTCATGAGCGCGTTAGCACTTTAAGATAAATATGCCGACGTGTTGCGTTGTAGTTCATACAGTACCCGCATCCTTATTCTTTACAAATCTATCGTGTCCTATCGTGCGTGTATCCTATTGTATCGTGCGTGTATCTTATCGTATCGTGTGTGTATTATATCCTATCGTATCGTGTTTTCTGTTTATCATGTTTTGCGTTTTCTATCGTGTTTTCTGTTTATCGTGTTTTGCGTTTATCGTGTAGATTGTTTCACCTATGGTTTATCGTGTATCATGTTTTGTGTTTAAAAAATCGTGTTATTTGGAAACCCTCGCTTTTTATTTTTAATACAGAATTTGACTACCGAGGTTCTTTTTCGTTTTGTTAACTAAAATAAGATTACTTTAACCGAGAAAGAGAAAAGAAAGTTTTATCCCTTAGTTTTACATCATTAAAAGAAATATTAAAGCGTGGAAAGAAAAGAATAAATATATAAACAATATAATTAATAAATTAAATAATTAATAATAATATAAATAAAGAAAATAATAATTATATCATGGTCAGCTTCAAATTTAAAAATCTATTTTTGAAAATGAAATGATTGATCCCCTGATCTTTTTTTTTTAATTCATTGAATTGGATGATTTTGGGGTCAAAATTAAATATTAATAAGATTATTTTAAATTAGTCAGAGTCACTAGAGGAAGATTTTGCGATAGTAATCCACGGTGTATACCGTCTGTCCCCCCCCCCCCCTGTCTGTCTGTAAAAATTTTAAAAAGCATGGGATTGATATTAATCTTTTTGAAATGCAATATTCATTTTTTCCCCAAGTAATCGTCTGATAATATAAGGAATGTGTTTTCGCCTCTGTTGTGCAAATATCCACAATTATTTAAAATCTTGATTTAAAAAAATAATAACGAAGCATGTAAGACATTGATCCAGATAACTTTTATAATTAAAACTATAAAAAGATAAGAATTTTTAATCAAATGATTAGTTAACATTCCGCCATATACTAATAAAAAAAATCAATATTATAAAATGTAAATTGCCACCAAATTGTGCTAAATTATAACATGTATTTGTTAATCGGCTATTTTTTTTTTAATTTTAGAACTCTTTATAAACCGTTTTCAAAAATTCTACATGCAAACTGTTCTTCTTATGTAAACTAGACACAGGATTTTGTAAATTATATGTCCAGAATTGTACCCTAGGGGTCTCAATTCCAGAGATCTATTTTCTGTTGTTCTATTTCTATTTTTTGCTGTTCTATTTTTCTGCTTTGCCTGTAACCAGTGCTTCATTTACGTGTTTTGCGTTTATCCTATTGTGCGTTATCTGTTAATTACGGTATTCTTTCGTATCATGCGTGTATCCTATCGTTTCGTGTATCCTGTAACCGATGCGCAAACCTAATTTTCAAAAAATAAATTCATTTCTTATATTTACATAATTTTTCTGTTAATTTGCCACAAAATTTATGCCAATCAACTGTCATCTTTAAAGCAAAACAGTTTGCACTATTGTTTTGACATCAGGTGCAGTATTATTACGTAACAATGGAGATATTAATGCTCACCTATGGTAGTTCATGAGAAAATGAACAGTCTTCCTATTTGCAAAGAATCTTAAAGAAAATTATTTGGAAATGTAAATATTTGTTTTTAAATTGAATTTGACTACCTAATGTTCTGTCTATCTGAACAAAGCATAGGGCCCACCCTGGGTGTGACCGGTCAAGAGGAGAATCTTTCTCCTCCCAGCCACCTGATCCCACCTCTGGAATATCAAGGGGACCATGTTTTATACCCTCTTTACAGATTTGCATTGTTTGAAGATTTTTGAGATCCATCACTTTTCTGTAGCTTCACCTTTTTAATGAAATATTTTATAATTTGTATATTTGAGAAAGCGTATAAAATTTAAAGTGCAGAAGAAGATGAATTGATTTTGGTAAAGATTTTCCTGATCTACTTGAGTGTGATTTTTTTGTTTTTTTCAGAATGAGAAAAAGGGTCCAAAAAGCAGTAAGAAGAAGAGGTAGCCTGTGTATTGTGATTTAATTTTACAGAAATTAAGGGGAAGGGCCTAGTTGTTTTAGTATTTTAATTTAATCTGTGATTTTACAAATATATATGTACTTGAATTTTATCATATTGATTGTTACTGAAATGATACACATTGAATGTGTAATGTGCAATTTACATGAAAATGATATAATAAATATTTACAGTTAGTGTCTGTGTCAGGATTATTTCAAAGTACAATTGCCAGTCCTCAGCTCACTCTGCCACACTCCATCCAGACCTCAGATGGAGGAATTGCATCATGTCAGATACATAGCTCTGCGAAAAACTGCCTTGTCACTCAATTCATATATAGAACAAATCTTTAAAAATCTTCTTCTCAAGAACCAGTGGGCCAGGAACTCTGGAACTTATATGGAAGTATCCTGGGGTAGTGTAAATTTTAAATTGTCAAAATCATGACCCCCGGGGGATAGGGCGGGGACATAATAGGGAATCCAAGTTTAACATATAAATATATAGAACAAAACTTTAAAAATCTTCTTCTCAAAAATTTATAAAGTATTCTGTTTCTAGAAATATTTTGGAAAAATATATAGGAAAAATCTTTAGGAATCTTCTTATCAAGAACCAGTGGGCCAGGCAAGCTGAAACTTATGTGGAAGCATCCTGGGGTAGTGTAGACGCTAGACTCTAGATTATAAAAAATCTTGATAAGGGAGGAGGTATGGGGGTATATATAGGTATAACAAGAGGGGAAATCTGGTAAAGAATTGCATCACCAAGTTACTCAGGTGAGCGATGTTGCCCATGGGCCTCTTGTTGATTTTGCACCTCATTATCTGACAATTTTGTTATTAAACTTATTTTAAAAGGTATTCGCTTAATCGTAGGGCGGAAAAACTTGTATTTTTGATGGATTCCATTCCCTTTTCTGTTGCATGTTTATCTACACCAATTTTCTTCCAGCTATCACTGCGTGGCTCAGTGGTTAGAGCGTCTTCTCTAAAGTAGCGAAGTTAGGAGTTGATCCTTATATATGTCGCGAGTTCGAATCCCACTGCTCAACATGGGACGTGGAGACCGGTCCTTCGGATGAAACCATATAAACCGAGGTCCCATGTTGCAGTAGGTGCTGGCACGAATAAGATCCCTCACTGCTCAATGGCCTTGAGTGCCTAGCATAAGGACAAAATTTGTAGCCCTCCACCGCCAAGTGCTGGCGTCTTCACATGAATGAAAAATTCTCGAGAGGGATGTTAAACAACATTCAATCAATCGTCGACCTTTCGGCTATCGATTTACGTGAAACGAATGACCAGGGTGTACCCAGGGTACTTTTGATGTGGACGCCCGAGTGGGTAGGTTTTGGGCCGCCTTAAGCCCCCCCCTCTCCCCCAAAGAGGTCTAGGGCGAAGCACCGGTTTGGCCTAGGAAAGGGGGAGCGAAGCCCCGGAAGTTAGTACATTTTTGATGATTTCGATGTGCATATTCGACTCTCTTGATCGCATTTAAAAAATTGAAAGGGGGGGGGTGTATGAGACAAAAATTCCAACCTAAGAAAAAACTTGACAAGCAAAAACTTTTTCCCCCCTAAAACACTACCACTTACTCTTTTTGGATCTAAACTGCAAGTGCTTTTGAAAGGGGGCGGGGGGGGGGGGGCTTAACCTACGCCCAAATACGCAATGTCTATATTATGTCTATCCGCAAAAAAAATTGGCCCTGGTTCCGACACCTATGAGTTTTATTACGCAGCCATATTCGAGGTCTGTTTTGTTTTTTGTACATAATGTGGACAAACACTCAAAATGAGAAAGGATCTGTCCAATTTCGTTGTATGACGAACCCACGACAACAGTTTTAGACTTTTGGAGAGACGAAATACCCGGTACGTATGGTTTAAAAGGTCCGTAAATAGAGGGGTTGACAGATTTAGACAGACCACTTGCATATAATTGACTGAAAGTCAGGCTTACATTAATATTAAATTAATATATCGTAAAAATTGAAAATTACAAAGACAGGAGAATTCTTTAAACTCATTTTCTTGCATATACTCTCTCTCTCTCTTTTAAAAATTGATGTGGACATTTGTGCATAGAAACGCACGCCTGGCTACACACCTGAATAAGTTATTTGTTCTAGCCTTTAAAAAGATAGGGTTTAATGCCAGGTGCTTCACATTCCTGCCTGCACAAGAATGTTCAGAATCGAAACTAGAATTATTGAGGGCGTATTTAAGACAATCATATATAACGATCGATCTCAGTAAAAATGTCGGGGGCTCCCGTTTGCTCCGAGCACGGAGAAGACGAGGTGAGATTTCACTGCAAAGAGTGCTCTCGTTCTATCTGTGACGAGTGTGTTATTTCAAATTGTAAAGACCACCATAAAGTTCGATTAAAAACGTTCATCGAAGAAAAGAAGAAAAACTGTGAAGATCTTATTAAAGATGTCAAAGAAAAAAAGATTACAGAAATCGAAAAAAGACTCGCGACTCTTGCAGCCAGTAGCGATGCTTACTATTGCAGTATTGAGCAAGAAATTCTGAGCGTGAAGAACAGAACCGACGCTCTTAAACAAATACTGGATGATAAAAACAACGAGTTAATATCTCAGCTGCACACTGCCAAACAAACAATGAAAACAGAGATAGAGAAAGTATTGGAATCCGACAGAAGTGAACTTGCTAATCTTCAGGAAATTGTCAGAAAATTCGAGGAAGACGGTAAATTGGATGACAAAGTGATGACATTAAACAAATCAGAAATCAAGCGTGAGCCTTTGCCAGATTTTAAGCATCCGAAGTACGTCTTCGAGAGTAGGAATGATAAGAACAGTTTAGAAATCTTGCTTGGTAATATCGACGAAGGTCATTATGAGGATATAACTATCAATTCTGAAGATGGGACACCATCAGAGGATGCAATAGGCAGCACGTTCGTACAGGGCAGAAACAAAACAGAGATCACACAGAGTGACGAGCCATTCTCTCCTGGAGAAGAAATCATTGCCATGGCTTGCAACGAAGAAGGGATAAAATGGGTGCTTGGGAAATCTACTATGTGGGAGGTGAAGAATAAACTCTTAAACCCCCAGTTAGAGGAACGCATGAAAACACCGGACATCTCTACAGAAAGAGTGGTAATATCAAGAAAAGGTTATCTTTTTATTTCAAAAATTTCAAAGAATTGTATAAAACTCTATAAGCCGCCATCCCCGAACTTTCTAAAACAAAAGAAAAGGGAAGCAGAAAAGACAGTGTTTTTGATGACGGGATCACTTTCTCCTTTGTGTGTTGGAATTCTGTCATTCGATGATATCATCGTCTGCCTTGGTCAAAAGTCACCTGAAAAAGATATGCAGGAATTGCTAAAATTACGATGGCATCAAATCGAACCAAAGTATGGGAAACTTTTAAAAGAAGTAGAATTAAAAACCCCAGTCTATAATCCCGTCAGCGTTACTCAGAATTCCATCGGCGAACTCCTCATTATCCACCAGAAGCAAAACAAAAATTCTTGCATTATCTGCCTGAAAACTGATGGCAGCCTGAAATTTCAATACCCAAATGCCAGTTCATTTGAGTGTAATTTTGTAGGCGTGGCTTGTTTGAGTGACGGGACGAGTGTCATTCTCGACCAATTAGAACCGAGTCTTCATTTGATTGATCTTGACGGGATTCTGTTGCAGAAGGATCCTAGGCCTAAGGACAAAATTCCTACCTGTATTACGAAAGACATGAACGACAGGATCTGGATTGGGTATTCCTCGGGTGTCATTCAATCTATCACGTACAAGCATTCACGAGTCTATGAAGAATTGTATTAGACTGAAATAACATCCATAATTTCACAGATCTATTATGAAAATCGTAATATGTCTCCATATTTGCTGATATTTATAATATTTTTTTCAAAATTAAAATTTTAACAGTTAAGTTTAGGGTTATACTTTAATGTACACGTAAGTCATAGTCTATGATGTATTTCTTGCTCACTCCTCCATGGTCCTGATCCCACTGTGGATTTTTGACCTTGAATACTGTTCGTTATCTCCATATCTTTCAACTCATAGATCAGTGTAGGAGTAGCTAGCGTACTGCGAAAAGGGATATACTGCAGTAACTCCTTGAAGTAACTCCTCGATAAATCTTAAAACTCAATCTCACACGGAAAAAAATTGATCACATGCATCACCTAATTTCAAAAATATATTTCACTTAAAGAATATAAAATACGAACTGTCTAACGTACGTTTTTATACCATAAGTAAAATTCGATGTTTTTGAAAAGGGGACCTGTCGTTTTTAGCTCACCTGAGCCGAAGGCTCAATGAGCTTTTCTGATCAAAATTTGTCCGTTGTCTGTCGTTGTCGTAAACTTTTCACATTTTCATCGTCTTCTCAAGAACCACTAGGCAAATTTCAACCAAACTTGCTTCTAAGTATCCTTGGGTAAAGGAAATTCAAGTTTGTTCAAATAAAGGGCCAAGCCCTTTTCCAAGGGGAGATAATTATGAATTTGTGAAAAATTAATGACATTTTATAAAAATCTTCTCAAGAACCATTGGGCAAGGAAAATATGAAACTCATGTTGAAGTATCCTCATGTAGTGATTTAAGTTTGTTCAAATCATGACCCCTGGATAGTAGGGTGGGGCCACAATGGGGTATAAAAATTTAACATAGAAATATATAGGAAAATTCTTCAAAGATTTTCTTCTCAAGAAAAGGAAAGACATGATTGGTCATAGTAATATGAAAGCATTCTCTGGTAGTGTAGATTCAAGTTTGTTCAAATCAAGACCACTGGGAGTAGGGTGGGGCAACAATGGGGTATCACAGTTTAACAAAGGAAAACAAGAAAAATCTTAAAAATCTTCTCAAGAACATCTAGGCCAGGAAATATGAAACTTAAGTAAAAGCATCCTCATGTAGTGTAGATTCAAGTTTTTTTTTTCAAATCATGACCCCGAAGGATAAGTTTAACATAGGAATACACAGTGAAAATCTTTAAAGATCTTCTTTTCAAGAAATGGAAAGCCATGATTGGTCATAGTTATGCAGAAGCATTCTCTGGTAGTGTAGATTCAAGTTTGTTCAAATCATGACCACGGGGGTAGGGTGGGGCCACAATGGGGTATCAAAGTTTAACATAGGAATGCATAGGAAAAATCTTTACAAATCTTCTTCTCAAGAACAATAAA